TGCTTCCTGGGCGGCACCGTCCCGGCAACAGGCTGAAGCAGCGCAGGAGCCCGCGGAGAACAAAGGGGTGCCACAGGCCAACCTGCTGAGCTCCCAGGACAAGGAGGAAGAAACCAAAGAAGTTCTCAATGTGAAGAAATCAAGTGAGAGCAAAAAATAGTAAAATTACTTAAGAAAGAATACAAAGAAGATCTTGAAAAATCAAAGACTAAGTCAGAACTCAACTCACCAGCCAACATTGCAACATAAATGCGTTTTAAAAAGAAAAAAGAAAAAAAAAAGGACAGAATGTTGGATCAGCGGTGGCCAGGCCTAGAGTGGCCAGGCACAAGGCAGTGGCAGCCAGACCCGGAGCAGCAACGGCCAGGCACCAGAACAACAGCAGCCAGAACCAGAGCATCAACAGCCAGCACTGGAGTAGCCAGACCTGGGGCAGTGGCAGCCAGGCATGAGGCGGAGGCGGCCAAGCCCAGGATGGCCAGTCCAGGAACACCCAGACCCGGAGTGGCCGGGCCCGGAGAAGCCGGGCCCAGAGCAGCCGGGGTGGGAGCAGCCAGACCCAAAACAGCAGTAGCCAAGCCCAGAGCATCCAGGTCGGGAGTGGCCAGGCTCGGAGTGGCCGGGCCCGGGGCAGCCGGGCCCAGAGCAGCCGGGTCAGGTGCGGCCAGGCCCGGAGCAGCGGCTGCCAGGCTGGGAGCAGCCAGGCCCGGGGGAGCAGCCGGGTCAGGTGTGGCCAGGCCTGGAGCAGCGGCTGCCAGGCTGGGAGCGGCCAGGCCCGGGGGAGCAGGCGGGGCTGGTGCGGCCAGGCCCGGAGCAGCGGCTGCCAGGCTGGGAGCGGCCAGGCCCGGGGGAGCAGGCGGGGCTGGTGCGGCCAGGCCCGGAGCAGCGGCTGCCAGGCTGGGAGCGGCCAGGCCCGGGGGAGCAGGCGGGTCGGGTGCGGCCAGGCCCGGAGCAGCGGCTGCCAGGCTGGGAGCGGCCAGGCCCGGGGGAGCAGGCGGGTCGGGTGCGGCCAGGCCCGGAGCAGCGGCTGCCAGGCTGGGAGCGGCCAGGCCCGGGGGAGCAGGCGGGTCGGGTGCGGCCAGGCCCGGAGCAGCGGCTGCCAGGCTGGGAGCGGCCAGGCCCGGGGGAGCAGGCGGGTCGGGTGCGGCCAGGCCCGGAGCAGCGGCTGCCAGGCTGGGAGCGGCCAGGCCCGGGGGAGCAGGCGGGTCGGGTGCGGCCAGGCCCGGAGCAGCGGCTGCCAGGCTGGGAGCGGCCAGGCCCGGGGGAGCAGGCGGGGCTGGTGCGGCCAGGCCCGGAGCAGCGGCTGCCAGGCTGGGAGCGGCCAGGCCCGGGGGAGCAGCCGGGTCCGGTGCGGCCAGGCCCGGAGCAGCGGCTGCCAGGCTGGGAGCGGCCAGGCCCGGGGGAGCAGGCGGGGCTGGTGCGGCCAGGCCCGGAGCAGCGGCTGCCAGGCTGGGAGCGGCCAGGCCCGGGGGAGCAGGCGGGTCGGGTGCGGCCAGGCCCGGAGCAGCGGCTGCCAGGCTGGGAGCGGCCAGGCCCGGGGGAGCAGGCAGGTCGGGTGCGGCCAGGCCCGGAGCAGCGGCTGCCAGGCTGGGAGCGGCCAGGCCCGGGGGAGCAGGCGGGTCGGGTGCGGCCAGGCCCGGAGCAGCGGCTGCCAGGCTGGGAGCGGCCAGGCCCGGGGGAGCAGGCGGGGCTGGTGCGGCCAGGCCCGGAGCAGCGGCTGCCAGGCTGGGAGCGGCCAGGCCCGGGGGAGCAGGCGGGGCTGGTGCGGCCAGGCCCGGAGCAGCGGCTGCCAGGCTGGGAGCGGCCAGGCCCGGGGGAGCAGGCGGGGCTGGTGCGGCCAGGCCCGGAGCAGCGGCTGCCAGGCTGGGAGCGGCCAGGCCCGGGGGAGCAGGCGGGTCGGGTGCGGCCAGGCCCGGAGCAGCGGCTGCCAGGCTGGGAGCGGCCAGGCCCGGGGGAGCAGGCGGGTCGGGTGCGGCCAGGCCCGGAGCAGCGCCTGCCAGGCTGGGAGCGGCCAGGCCCGGGGGAGCAGGCGGGTCGGGTGCGGCCAGGCCCGGAGCAGCGGCTGCCAGGCTGGGAGCGGCCAGGCCCGGGGGAGCAGGCGGGGCTGGTGCGGCCAGGCCCGGAGCAGCGGCTGCCAGGCTGGGAGCGGCCAGGCCCGGTGGAGCAGGCGGGGCTGGTGCGGCCAGGCCCGGAGCAGCGGCTGCCAGGCTGGGAGCGGCCAGGCCCGGGGGAGCAGGCGGGTCGGGTGCGGCCAGGCCCGGAGCAGCGGCTGCCAGGCTGGGAGCGGCCAGGCCCGGGGGAGCAGGCGGGGCTGGTGCGGCCAGGCCCGGAGCAGCGGCTGCCAGGCTGGGAGCGGCCAGGCCCGGGGGAGCAGCCGGGTCGGGTGCGGCCAGGCCCGGAGCAGCGGCTGCCAAGCTGGGAGCGGCCAGGCCCGGGGGAGCAGCCGGGTCGGGTGCGGCCAGGCCCGGAGCAGCAGCAGCCAAGTCCAGAGCAACTAGGTCGGGAGCGGCAGTGACCAGACCCGGAGCAGCTGGTTGTGGAACGAACCAGAGCAACAGAGGCCAGGCCCTGAGCAGCCAGGCCCGGGACAGCTCACTCCTCGCCTGCCCCTGCCCCATGGCTGCCTCTCAGACATGGCTGGAAACTTTCGTGGGAACTTGAGGGTCTGCTGAATCAAGTGATGAAGGCTTAGATCTGGATGTGTTGAGTTAGTATAGGGCTGGGGTGTTGATCAGTGAGTGCCTTGGGTGGGGCCTAGATGAGGCTGGTGGACCTATTGGGAAATGTCTTTTGTGTGAAGTGTATCATTGGGCATGTGGAGGTATTATTGATATGAGAAAATGCTAAGTCACTGATTTACTATCTGAAAAGGGATTTACTATCGGGGAAATTGAGGGAAGAAGAGACTGAACATAAACTGCACCTATGGATGAGGACAATGGGGGATGGGGAGGGGGCAGAGGTTGGGGTGGGAACCTGGTGGAGGGGGGAAGAAATGAGGAACCTTTGTAATAATATGAACAATAAAGATTGATTTAAAAAAAAAATAAAAAAAAATAAAATAAAATACACTATTAATTTTTTAGGGAAAAAAAAAAAAAAAAAAAAAAAAGAAACTATTGGCATGCTAAATTTCAGTGAGTGTCCCCTTATAAATTATGCAAGAAGCCCTTCAACAGACCAAATTTTTAAAATATCTTCAATGAATCAAATGTCATGGGCAGCAACTAGATTTAATACACAATATTCTGTCTTTCTCATGCTACTAAAATATCACAGTTAAGTGCTCTGTATGCACATATGTTCATGTGTTTATCAATATATTCATAAGCTTCCTCTAGTGCATTACATGGGAAACAGAAAATGACATGAAATGTGTTGTGAGGCAATGGACTCCATCTATAATTTAAAAGTGTAATATGCTAATTAGACCAGACAGCTGAATGACCTTCCGGATGTCTTTCCGTGGCTGCAAGGGCCATGGCTGCTAGGGCTGAGCCCCTTGCACAGATCCGGTACACCAGGCCTCGTTATAAACAAAGCCATGGTCAGTGTGTGAAGTGAAACAAGCAAAGCCCACTGACAGGCAGGTGTGGGCAAAGGGACCATCAGCACTTGGATGGTTAGTCCCTGAGCCACTCAGAGCCCATGGGATTCGTGGTGAGATCTCCCCTCCAACCACCAAACTCTTTCCCGGTTTGTGCCTAATTTTAGCTTATGACTAATTTTAGAACATTCACCCGGCTAAAGAGTCACTGCCCCTGCAGCACTCAACATTCACACCATTCTGCAGGGCACAGCCTTGCACACAGCTTGTGACCCACCAAGGACACACTTCAGGATATAAAACATGCTTTTAATAATCTAAGAAGAAAAGTATATTCCAAAGTAACTGTGTCACAATATTCCAATATTGAGGCCAGTTGTGGTGTGAAGTAAGAAGTGGTGTTTTCATCTCGGTCGTGGCACAAGAGGGCAGAATGGAGGCGAGGACCGGCTCAGGCCACTGTCCCGTGCGATGTCATGCCGACAAACGAATGAACCAATGATCAGCTTTTAATGCAGTTTCCTATCTCCATACCCTGATTTACCTCACAACCTTTATGGTGACAACATAAGCTTATCTTTCTTTACAGGCTGGGATAACAGAAAACCAACAAAGCCCATGATAGACTATTTCACAATGACCTAACAGCTAACACTGAAAGTTTGTATTATATTTTAGAAAAAGTATAATTGTGTTTATGTGCACTATTTCATAAATAAGTTACAACAAGCAATTAAACAAAAACTTGACATTTTCATGTATGTAAGAAGTTTCAAATTAGGACACTATGGTTAATGAACTGTGATTAATTCTCTTAATAGTCTATGCAACTTAGATATATAACATTTTTTTCTTATAAACACTTCAACTTCTCATATAATACATTTTACAGTTATGAAAGTTAATTTTTGAATACTTTCTTTTGCTGATTATGGATAGAGATATACTAACATTTAATAATCTTTCAGCTTTTCTTTTAAAAAAAAACAGTGCAAAATAAGTCATGAGAACTTTTTCTTGTAAAGACAAAAATGATTATTTGTCATAAGAATTTAATAAGACTTAGAAGAAAAAATATATATTTCCTTAAACCATTTTGTTCTGAATTCAAACCAGTTTATAGCGATTGTAAAAAATAGAGTCTATGTTCACGGCACAGTGTGCCTCAGACACACACAGACAAGATGACAAGGGGCACATACACCTGCCTCCTGGACACAGCCCGGCACAAGCCAGTACCCTCTGTCCCACTGTGCAGTGGTAGCTGCTGAGGCGATGGGACGCTAGACACACAAAGCTAACAGCTAGAGTAACATTGGCCCAACAAGATTAAAACGTCCGCTTTGTAAAACAGTAAGCGAAGAACAGGAAGTATAAAAATAGCACTCGTGTGTGGGGAAGGCGCTCTGAGACGCAGGTGGCAGACACCAGGGAGTTCTCCTGCCAGCGTGGCCTACGTCATCACGTGGGGTCTCGTCCCGTCTTCTGTGAGGTCGTACCTGAGGGCACAGGAAGCGACAGGCAGGTCAGGGCGGAGGCCATGGTCAGCCAGGCTGTCAGCTGTGGCCTAAGAAGGACACTCACCACTGGGTCCAGCCTTTGGCGAGCTCTTCAGATGCCAGAGCAACCAGCACCTGTGGGTAAGGGAGTGTGTCAGCGGTGGGGTGCTCCCTTGGATCCCACTTCTGCTCTTGCCAACCTCCCTGCCGCATGGACACTGTGCACTGCTTTAATGTGAGGCTCTCACCTTTCAGTGTGCTCCCCCCAGGATGGGGGTCCTCCCCAGTCTGCCTTAGCCACCAGTCTAACGCTGGGTCACTACAAAACCTCAGGGCGATCGCTGGTGGGGACAGAGGCTCAAGGCCAGTGAAGGTACTGAAGTCGGTGTGCATTGGCCACAAATGGCACCTACAATTCAAAACCTCTCTTCCCTAACTTACTTCTGTGTACATTATTAAAGGGTGTGCATTCTTTTTTCTTCTTTTTTTAAAAAAAAAAAAAAATACATTTTATTGATTTTTTACAGAGGAAGAGAAAGGGATAGAGAACTAAAACATTGATGAGAGAGAATCATCGACCAGCTGCTTCCTGCAACCCTACTGGGGATGTGCCCGCAACCAAGGTACATGCCCTTGACCAGAATCGAACCCGGGACCTTTCAGTCCACAGGCTGACGCTCTATCCACTGAACCAAACCAGTTTTGGCAAGGGTGTGCATTCTTACGCAGCAGTTACATGTGGATATGGACAAAAACGAAAAGAAATTCAAAGGGCCCTAGCCGGTTTGGCTCAGTGGATAGAGCGTCAGGCCTGTGGACTGAAGGGTCCTGGGTTCGAATCCGATCAACAGCACATATCTCAGTTGCAGGGTTCTCCTTAGCTCAGGCCCTGATTGGGGCATGTGCAGGAGGCAACCAATCGATGTGTTTCTCTCATATCAATATTTCTGTCTTTCCCTCTCCTACTCTCTCTAAAAATCAATGGGAAAATATCAAGTGAGGATTAAAAAAAAAAAATTCAAAGAAATAAAGCCAATTATTTGTTAGTTAGGAGGTAGAACTGGAAGAGAATGTATTCCCTTTGGGTTTTCTTTCACTGCGATACTTGAAATAAAAGCAACGAAGTAAATTAAAGTGTCTCCATGATGCACTGACATCCCAGCTGACGCAGGCTTCCGGGTCTACTATTACCCACAGCACGCTCACGCCCACCTCCCTCCGTGCTCCGGTCCGCAGGACGCAGCCAGGGGCCTGCTCACGCTTACTTTGCCGAGAAGCCCTTTGTCTTTGGACAGGAAGCCGCCACTGTTCTTCACGGCGACATCCAGCATTCTCCGCTGCACGTCTGGGAGCGAGACGCTGAACTCAAAGCTGACAGAGAAAGAGGCCCTCCCTCAGTTTCTCCATCTGGCTGCAGTTTATCGTCACTGAGCACGACATTCCCACCTAAGAGACCACGCCAAACGGCCCATTTCTTAATATAAAATAGGGTTCTCGTGTAGATGTTTGGGGCCTGCATTTCATAGACACAAAATCAAAGTGTTTTCCAGGGTTTGGAACCTCAGAGAAGATTCTGGCCTGCGGCTCCCACGCACAAGGTGGGCAGTTAGGATGTGGGATCGCCAATGTTATATCGGCTCCACAGCCACGGCCAGGCTCTCTCTCCCTAAAGACTGCAGGAGAGCGGCTCCCAAGCCTCGTGAGGGGCTGGAGCAGAGGCCACAACTAAATGCCTTCGGGGCGGCAGGTCCTCCAAGCGGTGTGCGTGGTCTGCATGTGGCAGAGGCCCCGGAGCCTCGGCAGCTAGAGACCAAGACATGCACATGAATCTCAAATTCTTTGCTGCTGCAGAGAAAGAATACACTTTGACCAATACAAAGTGCCCCCACCAGGATTTGGTGTGTTCCTGTTGGTAAACATAATTAAGTGTAAACTGAATTGGCAGACATCAATACCATGCAACCTTATTTCCCCAAATGCTGGTGGTTTTAGCCACAGGACTGTTGAGTAAGACCCCTTGCTTGCAGATGGAGACCAAGTGCCTGCACACCCTCAGGAGCAGCCGTCACACTGACACCGAGCAGACAGGGCCTCTGCTCTGGGAAGGCAGACCATGAAGGAGATTTGCAAATCTGAAACGATTACGTCCTTCTTTTACTTTTAAAATGGTTTTGGAAACTGGTTATTTTCATAAGAATGTTATATTTTAAGATGTTATAGAGGTTTATTGTTTTAAGAACTATATGCGTTTTAATATTCTCGGCTTTGATGTATAACTCAGTTCTTTAATCACTCGTCTCGCCATCACATTCACAACTGTCACTTCTGCATGAAGTTCAGAGTACCCTCGTATTTTACCAGCTCGCGCCCACTAATTTGTTTCCACTTCTCAGTGCTAGGTGGGACCAATCTTTGCCACTGCGAGGCCCTCCTAGCTTTCCCTGACACCTGCCCCAGGTGAGTGAAGTCCATACCTCTGATCAAACACGGGGTTCAGTGTTTTCTTTGACACGTGTGTTTTTCTCCTCCCTGACCTCCTCTTGTCTGGGAGCAAATACATGCGGACGTAGGGGTCCGAGCCGTCTTCAGAGAAGGCAATGAGGTTTCTTGTAAAGGAAACCAAAGAGCAGCAGGCATTATACTCTAGAAAGATTACAGTCAGCATCACATCAACTTTCTACAGCAGGTCCTCGAGCACTGTCATTCTGTGAAGTTCCTGAGAAAAAAATCCCCTCGGTATTGCTGTGTGGAGCCTGCACGTTCACCTGTGTTTCATGAGTTTTCTACGGGAACTCTGGTTTCCTCCAATATCCCAAAGATGTGCACACTAGGTGAGCGGCCTGTGTAACGTGTCTGATGAGACAGGTGCGGGTGTGAGCGGCCTGGGTAACGTGTCTGATGAGACAGGTGTGGGTGTGAGCGGCCCCAGATGGAGGAGCATCCTGGGCAGGGCCGGTGTCTACCTCGTGCCCTGAGCTGCAAGGAAAGGCAGTGTGGTCACTCATGAGCTGAAATAAAATGAGCGGGTGGGAAATGAATGACCTCCTTGTTTTCACTCATCTTTCTTAAAGGTGTGTGGAGCCCACATTTACCTCAGGGCTTATAGAAGTGTTCTGGGTCTGTGTCTGAACTTTGGTCATGATGTGAAGACAAGCAATAAGCCACAGGAACTTGACTGCTGTTTGTACCACCTGTCTGCAGCCACTTCCCATTACTCACTCACTGACGGACTGCGCAACTAGGCAGGATCTGGGCTGACGTCCTCGAACCCAGGTCCTGCCTTTGTCTACCAGTGGTGGCCTCAGCAGGAGAATACAGCAGGTGCTGAACACATATGCCCCGAGCTGAACTCCACACGACAGTCAAGTTCCAAATGTCACTAATTTTATTTTTCTGTTTCTAACAGCTTTTAAGAATCAAATATGTATATAAACACACTAATATCACAACGACTACAGAGACAGGCAAGTCACATAGGAGAGAAATAGCTCCCGAGCGTTACCATTAATCACAGTCACCTCACGTCACACCACTCCTGATGCAGGGAAAGGCAAGCAGGCCGCTCGGTGCCCAGGCCTCCCGGAAAGACTGTGGCAAGACTGACCAGGACCCATGGACTGCTAGGTCCTCTGAATTTATAAGTTTACTCCTAGAAACGTGGCCTCAAAGAGCACTTCAATAAAGAAGACCCGTTCACTACCGAGTGTGCTCGTTGTTTAGACATCTCACACCCGCGCGGAGGGGAGCAACGTTCCCCCAGTCCAGGGTGTGTTGCCAAGCAACCCAGTGGTTATGGATGTCTAGGAAGCAACACTGAGAAGGAAGAAGGAATAACCACGGCACAGGGGATCCAGCGGCTTGGCATTTAAAAGGATAAATGGAGGCCGCCTGGGGAGGCGAGCACCGGGGCCGGAGGGAGGCCCTGCGGAGGGAGCGCCGCTCACCTGCAGGCGTGCACGACCACCACCAGCTTGTTCCTCTGCGAGCTGTGCCGGATCGTCAGCTGGATCTGCCCCAGGGGAGACTGTCCCAGCGTCGTCCCACTGAGGAAACAAAGCAGGAAGTCACAGCTCTGTCCCAACCTTCGCCCCTCCCCCCCGAGTCACAGCTCCGACCTGACCCGCTGGGAAAGCCACGCTCACTCATGCAGACTAGAGGTCACACGAACTCTTCAGCGGAGGCCAACACCACTTAACCATTCAGTCAGAGCCCTTTCACCGAAGCTCCGAGGTCTCCTAGTTACCAACCCGCTCTGGACCTGTCACTGCCCACATCTCCGCATCCATTCTCACAACCCATGATCCTGGCTCTGATGTTCACCGACAGAACATCGGTGACATCACAACACATCCCTCGATTTCTGTTTCTCAAGGTCAAAGCACAGACCCTACGATAATCAACAACTGTCTGGCTCAGGGCTCCCCAAGACCAGCTCCTGAGAAAAGTGGCTTCTTATTTAAATTTTTATTTCCTTTTAGAGCAAGAGAAGGGGAGGGGCTGATTTCTTTTTTCAAAAATAACGGAGGTGAGGCCTGAAGGTCAATCCTTCCAGGGATACAAACAACAATAAAGACTTAGCTACAACAAGGCTGCACCAAGAGTGTCCGGCTCAGGTAACTGCGGAGGCTGACCCACTGGGCCAAATAGGACACCAAACGCACAAAGCCATCCTACCAACTCTGGGAAGCAGTGAAAATGCTGAGATAAGGAAATAGATCTCAAACGAAAGAGATGGAGGAGAACAAATGGCTGGATATAGAGTTCAAAACCACAGTTTTAAGGTTTTTCAAGAATTTCCTAGAAAAGGCTGATAAATTTATTGAGACCCAACTAGAAATTAAACATAAACTGACTGAAATAAAAAATATACAGAGATCCAACAACAGACTGGAGGATCACATGAATCAAGTCAAAGATTTGGAATACAAAGAGCCAAAGGACACTCCTCTGGAGAAGCAAGAAGAAAAGAGAATCCAGAAAGTTCAAGATAGTGTAAGGAGCCTCTGGGACAACTTCAAGTGTACCAACATCAGAATTATGGGGGTCCCAGAAGAAGAGAGTGTACAAGATACTGAAAACATATTTGAAGAAATAATATCAGAAAACTTTCCCCATTTGGTGAAAGAAATAGACTTACAAGTATAGGAAGTGTACAGAACCCCAAACAAGAGGAATCCAAAGAGGAACACAGCAAGACACATCATAATTAAAATGCCAAGAGCGAAAGACAAAAAGAGGATCTTATAAGCAGCAAGAGAAAAGCAGTTGGTTACCTATAAAGGAGTACCCATACGACTATCAGCTGATTTCTCAACAGAAACTATGCAGGCCAGAAGGGAGTGGCAAGAAATATTCAAGTGGTGAATAAGCGAGAACCTACAACCAGCAAAGTTATCATTCAGAACTGAAGGGCAGATAAAGAACTTCACAGATAAGAAAAAGTTAAAGGAGTTCATCACCACCAAACCAGTATTATATAAAATGCTGAAAGGTATTATTTAAGAAGAGGAAGAAGATCAAGTGAATTAAAAATCTGAGGAACAGAATAAACTGGTGAATATAATAGAATCAGGGGCAAAGAAAGGGAGTGGATTGATAATTATCAGGGGGATAATTATCAGGGGTGTGGGGGCGCAGAAAGAGACTGGATTAAAATCGTACACCTATGGATGAGGACAATGGCGGGGGGCAGGAAGGAGGGGGAGTGGGGAGTGGGGAGGTAAGGGCAGAGGGTGGGGCGGGAATCTTGTGGAAGGGAGCTATGAGAGGAAAAAGGAGAAACAATTGTAATAATCTGAGCAATAAAGGTTTATTTAAAAAAAATAAATAATGGCGAGGAGACCAGTGCACTGAGTGTGTCACAGAAGTCACACATGTGCCTGCATCCCAACACCAGGAACACGCTTCCCTCAAAGGCAACTTCCTCCGTTCCACTGAAGGACAGACTGACACCGGAAGCTGTGGAGCCTGCAGGCTGCTTTCCTCCTTATCTGGGAATCATGGGGCTTAAGTAAGAAATCAAAAGTAACGGGGACCAGCCATGGGTGCTGAGCAAACTGGAATGAACAGGCCCTGCACCCAGAGTCCGGCAGCTCAGCTCTGGACCCGCCTTCCTGCCCTGAGGGCAGCAGCACCAGAGCCTGGCAGTTCAGGGGCCTCCCTACCCCATTGCCATCTAACCCTTAACGAGCCGGAGGGAGGCTGGGAAACGGCTGGCTTCCCTGGGGAAGGGTGCCGCCCCAGCCCCTGGGCTGCTGACACACACCCTCACGGCACACGAGGCAAGCGGCCTGGGTGAGAGCAAGAGAGCACTGGTTACTTCTCCAGCTGCCGCAGCCGCTGCCGAAGCTCCTGCGTGGCGATGGGCAGCGAGATGTCCGAGGCTATGCTGGGGGTGGGCTCCTTGATGAAGATGTGGCTGGGGGAGCCGGAGGTGCTGCCATGGAGGCTAGAGGCACTTCTGCCCAGGTCTCGAGGCCCCTGAGGGCTGGCCTCTGCGGGCTGCGCTCTGTCCTCCACGCTGGGCTTCACACCGCCTCCCAGGACTGGAGCGGGCGGGGCGGGGCTGCTGTCCCCAGCGCCCGGTGGCTCGGACGCCTGAGACCTGACAGACACTTTTCTCCCTCCTTTGGAAACGGAGGGCCGCTTGACTTGAGCTGAGTGCTGGTGGTCTGGGGACCTTTCTTGCTTTTCGAGGTGGAGTATCTAGAGGTGGAAATAAACAAGTAAAAACCAGTGACACTGATAGCCTGATACATGAATGTTCTAAATCTATTCACTTGCCAATTCATTTGAAACTTAGTATAATATAATATAGACAATCTGGCCTACCTGCTCACCTGTTCTATTAGTAAAGTAATATGTTACAGAAACCTTTAAAAAGCAAAGTTTAAGTGATCAAATTATCACTTCTACGATATACACATCATTTCTGTGTATTCCCCTCAGCCTCTTCCATTTGCACCAATTTCTGCACAGTTGTGGGTGATCTTATTCCTGGAAGAGCCTGAGCTGCCGCCCTGCACAGTCTGGTCCCTCATCCTCGCAGGTGGAAGGATGAGAGTCAAGGACACCTCCACCCAGCAGTTACCTCAGATTCCTAGCATCCATGGGGGAGCAGCCCATGCCCTCATTCACTTTGCTAGTATTTTTGTGTTTTTTAATATATATGTTTTATTGATTTTTTTACTGAGAGGAAGGGAGAAGGATAGTTAGAAACATCAATGAGAGAGAAATATCGATCAGCTGCCTTCTGCACACCTCCTACTGGGGATGTGCCCGCAACCAAGGTATCTGCCCTTAACTGGAATCAAACCCGGGACCCTTCAGTCTGTAGGCCGAAGTTCTATCCACTGAGCCAAACCAGTCAGGGCTTCTTTGCTACCTTTTAATATTTACTTTAAAAAAAAAAAAAATCTCACCTGAGGATATTTTCCCATTGATTTGTAGAGAAAGTGGAAGAGAGAGAAAGACAGAGAGAAACACCAATGTGAGAGAAACACATCCTGACCACAGACAGTCCAGGCCGGGGAGGACCCTGCAACCAAGGTATGTGTCCTTGATCAGAATCGAACCCAGGGCCTTTAGGTCCACAGGCCGACGTTCTATTCACTGAGCCAAACTGGGTAGGCCTTAGTATTTACTTTTAACATACACAAGAGTCCACTGAGCAGAGTCAGACACCATACACTCCTGCACTGCGGGTCACTGTGATGCTGGAAGTTCTGCTTTTACACAGTGAAGCTGCAGCAAACAGCTCCATGTTCACGGTCTCCCCACACGTGCCTTGTACCCTGAAGGTTGGGCTTCCAGGGCTTTGGGGCAGGGCTCTGTGACCTACGGCCTGGAGACACGGCCTGGAGAGGCTGTGCCCGGCAGGTCCTGATCGGGACGAGGAGCACATTCCACGGTACCCACACAGCAAGTTTGTCTTAATTCCTTAAAAAGACGTTCTCCATTTTCATTTGCATTTTTAAAATTAGTGGGTTGTAGCTAATATGTTTGCCAGTTTTATTTTCTATATATCCTTAGGTGCTTACAAATGAATTATCATGTTTTTGGGGAGAAAATTTTCGGTAATTTCTACCATCTTGTAGTTCTATTATATTTTCTTCTGAGTGACTATTGAAGATGTAATCTTAGCAGAAAACTTGCTGACCCCGACAGCATACTTTCCGGGCCAAGTATAAAAAGCGGCAACTGCATTCACCTAAAGGGAGCGGGTCCCGGGGCTGCTCAAGCCCCTGGACACTCTGCTGCTGGTGGAGATGAGTCCAGGCTTCCGTCATCTCCCTGAGTTCCCATGTGGCTGCTGTACATGCTGCCCGCCATGCCCACCGCCCGCCTCGTCCCGAGTCCGTGGCTGTGCCCCCTGTGGAGCAGCACCGGAGGGCTTTGCCATGGTGGCCTGTGCCCGTGCACCCGTGTCCCCCACGAGACGACAGTACCCTGAGGGCAACCTTCATCTTCAGAGAGCTGTTTGGACCAGAATTACTGAGCTGGAATCGCTGGTTCATGGTCATGTCATCGCTGGAGAGCAGACGACTGAGCGGGATCGTCAGGTTCCCCAGGCAGCACTGATGCTGTTCATCTCTGACCTGGAAACACACCACAGAATACTGAGCTCCCGGATAAGACACAGCGCAGGATGGTCAAGTTCAGCCTTAAAAGCATGTCAACATCTCCTGCTGGGCAGCGTCTCCTTAAATGATTACCCCCATAGGAATCCTCCTTGGGAAGACAGGGGACTTGTAAAGAGTGATGCTATATTGCATCTACGTCACATGTGTCTGTCACTCCTCATCACACATTTTAAAAAATATATATATATTTTTATTGATTTTTTACAGAGAGGAAGAGAGAGGGATAGAGAGTTAGAAACATCAATGAGAGAGAATCATCGATCAGTTGCTTCTTGCACACTCCCCACTGGGGATGTGCCCGCAACCAAGGTACATGCTCTTGACCGGAAATGAACCCGGGACCTTTCAGTCCACAGGCCAACGCTCTATCCACTGAGCTAAACCGGTTTCGGCATCATCACACATTTCTGAGCGAAAAAGGACACCATGGCTAGGAGTCCATTTATGAGAACCTCAAATTAAGAGGCAGCAAGCTGAACAAGCCTGAAGAATAGAAAGGTCTTAAACCCTGTGAAAATGACGACCATGCCCATTTGTATGATGTGTCAAGTTCAACTGGTGATACTTATTTATGGAGAAAATTTTCTAGTGTCTTTTAAGCCTTCTCTATTCAAAATGTACACATTTTAAAAAAATTTTTACAGTATCTCCTCTAAATGCAGGGCAACTCCTGCCTCCTGAACGGTTCTCTGTGGATGACCTCTGCCAAGGAATGGCTCTGTCAGACAGCTGTATGCAGAACAGTTGATAACCAACAGCAGGAGAGCCTCCACTGGCTCCAGGACACGGCCAATGAAGTCATTGGAGATAAAAACCTAGATGCCTGATTGCTGATTTCTTTATAACCTGTAATCCAAAAGCTTTTTTATTTTTTAATGCGTTTTTACTGATTTTTATAGAAGAGAAAGGAAAAGGGGAGAGAGAAACACTGTCTTGATTGCCTCCTACATGCACCCCAACTGGGAATTGATCCCACAACCTGAGCATGTGCACTGACCAGGAATCAAACCGATGACCTTTCGGGATATGGGATGATGCCCACCCAACTGAGCCACACTGGTCAAGGCTAAAAGCATTTTTAAAAGTTAACTGTCGCCTGGCAGGCATGGCTCAGTGGTTGAGCTATGAATCAGAAGGGCATGACTTGATTCTTGGGGCACATACCCAGTTTACAGGCTCAATCCTTAACAGGGAGCATGCAGGAGGCAGCGAATCAATGATTCTCTCTTACCACTGATGTTTCTATCTCTCTCCCTTCCACTCTGAAATCAATAAAAATAGTTTTAAAAAAGAAATAATTGTGATGTTGTTTACTAAACTTTAAAAGCTATTTTTTAAAATTCAAGATCCAATAAATATAGATTGTTTTAAGCATGATGCAACTTACAAAGGAAAAGGAGCTCAGCAAATACAAAAATGAGCTAGAAGGTACATGTTGCATAACAGGGAATGTGACCCTGGCTGGTTTGGCTCAGTGGATAGAGTCAGCTGTGGACTGAAGGGTCCGATTCCTGTCCAGGGCACATGCCTGGGTTGTAGGCTCGATCCCCAGTAAGGAGTGTGCAGGAGGCAGCCCATCAATGATTCTCATTATGGATGTTTCTCTCTCTCTCCCCCCTTCTCCCTTTCTCTCTGAAATCAATAAAAATAGGAGGATCCAAGATGGCTGCGCCCAGGTAAACAAACACCTAGCCACAGCCGCACACAACAATTTCAATAAAATACAACTAAAATATAAAATGGACATTACCCAGAACTATAGGAAAGTCGACTGACTGGAAATTCTACAACGAGAAGCAAGGAGAAAACCAGAAGGAAGCGCAGAGGAGCTGTAAAAGCCTAAGGTACGGAGATACCCGGAGTGCAGAGAGGACGAAGCCAGAGAGGAGGGAGGCCGAGTGCCTGGCTGGTGTTCCCTAGTGGGAAGGAGATAAAACTCCGACTGTGTTGGGCCCCAGTTCTGACTGCTCTGAACCCCAGCTCTAGGCCAGACCCCTGGGACCCAGGCTCATCCAGAGGGAGCTGGGCTGAGAGGCGGAACCCCGGGGGAGAGGCGAAAGGAGGTCCCGGAAGCGCGCACATTGCGTGCAGAGAAGGGAAGGTTGGCTGTGTCGCAGGATTGCCCTGGCCGGAAGGAGACTGGGGCTCCGGACTGCTCTGAACGCCACCTCCAACTCCATTTCCAACTGAACTGAACCCCAATACTGGGCTCATTGGGGAAGAGCATAGACTGTTTGGCAGCAGGCGAAAATCAAGGGCACCTTTTTCTCAGAAGCGTTTTGCAGCGAGTACTGAAGGACCCTGAGACTCAGGAGCCGCATAGGGCGGGGCTGACGGAAGCCAAAGCTGTAGGCTCCACCCTGAAACCCCGTCCCATCTGTAACTGCGAAATGCGACAACGAAATAGATCACAAACGAAAGAAATGAAGGACAAAAAGCGACTGGATATAGAGTTCAAATCTACGCTTATAAGGTTTTTCAAGAATTTCCTAGAAAAGATGGATAAGACTTATGAGGATATGAAAAGAGTTCAACTAGAATTAATAAGGAGTCAACAAGAAATGATAAGGGATCAACAAGAAATAAAGAATACATTGTCTGAAATAAAAAATATTATACAGAGTCCTAAAAACAGAATGGAAGATCATAAGAATCAAGTCAAAGATTTGGAACATAAAGAACCAGAAGACACTCCTCCACAGAAGCTAGAAGGCAAGAGAATCCAGAAAATTGAAGATGATGTAAGAAACCTCTGGGACAACTTCAAGCGAACCAACATCAGAATTATGGGGGTCCCAGAAGATGAGAGAGAGCAAGATATCGAAAACATACTGAAAGAAATAGTGACAGAAAACTTCCCCCACCTGGTGAAAGAAATAGACTTACAAGGAAGTGCACAGAACTCCAAACAAAAGGAATCCAAAGAGGACCACACCAAGACACATCATAATCAAAATTCCAAGAGCAAAAGACAGAGAGAGAATATTAAAAGCAGCAAGAGCAAAGCAGGTAGTTACCTATAAAGGAGCACCCATACGATTGTCAGCTGACTTCTCAACAGAAACCATGCAGGCCAGACGGGAATGGCAAGAAATATTCAAGGTGATGAATAGTAAGAACCTACAGCCAAAGATAATCTATCCAGCAAAGCTATCACTCAGAATCGAAGGTCAGATAAAGAGCTTCACTAATAAAAAAAAGCTAAAAGAGTTCATCACCACCAAACCAGAATTATATGAATTGCTGAAGGGGGTTCTTTCAGAAGAGAAAGTAAATAAAGATAAAAATCATGAACAACAAATATGTAACTATCAACAAGTGAATCTAAAAACCAAGGAAATTAAAAAAAAATCTGATGAACAATATTAACTGTTGAATATAATAGAATCAGAGGTATGGAAGGGGAGTGAACTGACGATTCTTGAGGAAAAGGGGAGAGGGGGATGTGGGAAGAGACTGAACATAAACTGTGCATCTATAGATGAAGACAATGGGGAGTGGGGAAAGGGCAGAGGGTGGGGTGGGAACCTGGTGGAGGAGAGCAATGGTGGGGGGGGGAGGGGAAGGAACATTTGTAATAATATGAACAATAAAAACTTATTTAAAAAAAATAAAAAAATAAAAATAAATAAAACCCCTTCTCTATAAAAAAAATAAATGAATACAAAAAAGCAAAAGGGGATGTGAAAACATAGAATACGCAGAGAATAATGAACAGGCATGAGCAGGCCCTCTGTGGGAGATGGGCCTCAGGCCTCCGGCCAGGGGCTGAGGACTGCCAGCTTCTCTGAGCCTGGCTGCTGGAGAGGAGGGCTTGCCAAAAAGGAGCCCGGGCACTAGCACAGCTGCGACTGGGTGTCTGTGCGCCGCCCGGGAGGACATGGAAGCTGTGCGATCCCTGTCCTTTATGCTACGGTAAGGAGAGGAGGACGGACACACACCACTGGACTGCAGGTGGGACCCAAGCAGCAGCCGCCAGCTCCTTCTGGGGATGTCATGTGCCTGTACGGTATTTCTGCTTCGGTGTGATGGAGTAACAGGAAATGAATTTAATCCCACTCAGCTTAAAAACAAGCGGGGTGAGCCTGACAACTGGCCTGGTCACTGCCGGGAGAGTCCAGGCCATGGTGCCGGGATGGGGACCCCAGAGGCCAGTGGTCCCCATGATGAGGACACTGGGAGAAGTCAGAGAGCAGGAGGTGCCGGCGAGGAGGAAGCTCCGGAGAGCAGCAGGCCCCGAGGACCCCTGCATTTCAGCCAATGGGCACGTGCGAGGGAGCAACCACAGGAGGCCATAGGCCCAGGAGGAGCAGAGGACAACCCCCCGAGCACATGGGGCTGCAGAAGACCTGGAACGTGTGGGGCATCAGGTTAGGGCCCCCAGACCCCAAGACTAGAGCCTATCGGGCTGCCTAATAAAGCTTAAATCAAGCTCAAAAGGCTTTAAGTATTCCCAAGGACCTTTCCTCCAAATGAGAATAGAGCTCCAAAATATTTAAAGACCTACAAACCCAGCACACAAACATGCAAAATTACCAGGCAACCAAAGAAGCAGTAATATATGACTCACAGATCCAATTCCACACAGACAATGGAATTGGTGACACGGCACAGAAGCTGTCACACCCAGACCACACACACACACAGGAAGGCAGAGGAAAGACCTGGAAAACATAAGATCCAAACTCAGCTGCTAAGATGAACATTGGAAAGTTCAAAACACACAGGATGGGATTGACAGATTAGACATTTGAGGTGGGAAAAAATGGGAGAAGTAATGTTCAGACTTCTCATCAGAAACAATGTGAGAGGGGGAAAAGTGAAAGAAAAAAACCAGGTAGCCAAACATTTTATTTTATTTTTTTTAATTTTATTTATTTATTTTTTAAATATATTTTATTGATTTTGTACAGAGAGGAAGAGAGAGAGATAGAGAGTTAGAAACATCGATGAGAGAGAGTCATTGATCAGCTGCCTCTTGCACACCCCCTACTGGGGATATGCCCGCAACCAAGGTACATGCCCTTGACCGGAATCGAACCCGGGACCTTTCAGTCCCCAAGCCGACGCTCTATCCATTGAGCCAAACCGGTCCCGGCTAGCCAAACGTTTTATATCTTGTGAAAATATGAAGGTGAAACAGACTTTCCAGACACACAGAACTGGAAGAACCATCGACCGGCTCTGCAGGAACTGTGAAAGGGGCCGTGGGTAGAAGGGAAATTGCTTCTGCTGAAAGGGTGAGAACAACAGAAAAACTATTTTCTAGATTTTTAGAAAGCTCTTTAAAATAATGAAATGTATTATGGGAGAGTAGAAACAGAAGCATGCCCTGGAAGGTCCCTGCACCTCTGGAGACCGAGTAAGGAAAGGCCAGTGAGCGGAACAGAGGGACGGAGCCCTAGAGCAATCACTAACACCGCAGCACCAAGCACGGAGCTACAGCTCGTAAGCCAAAAAGGGAGATCAAGTGCCAATACAAAAGGCTCGATCCAAAAGAAATCAGATTAAAAAAGCAAAAGATTACAAATGGGCAAAGATATGGTAGCAGATTTAAACCCAACCACATCAACAATAACTGTATGCTATCTATAAGACATCACCTTTAAATATAAATTACAAGTAGATTTTTAAAAAGATGAAAAAAATAAGCATGTTAACTTCAATAAAAAGAAAGATAAAATAGCTATATTAATATCAAACAGTCGGTTACAAAGAATATCATTTAAATGAACTGTAAAGGAAATTTTTATAATGATAAAGGAATCAACTCGTCAGGTGGGCAAGCATTAGAATTCTAAACAGACTCTTGGAAAAATAAAGAGCAGAGAAAACCTCCCAACTCTTCCTACTGTCATCATCCTGACCCACAAGCTGGAGAAACACAATTACAGACCAGTGTCCTTCTGGACTCAGGTGCAAAATTCTTAACAAAACTTATCCAATTAAATCGAATCCATAAGAAGGATACTACAGGATGACCACGTGAACTCATGCCCTGATAAAGGTTTACTTGTGAGGTTCCTAATGTGAAAACCACATGAAGGTTGCGGTGTCTAACTCTGAAGCCATGGCTGTATTGCACCACACTGACAAACCGGGGAAGCCAGAGGACCCCTCCGCGCTGAGAGAAGCCGCAGATAAAATTCCACGTTCCCTCTGACAAAACGCTCAGCCACCTCATGGCAGGAGAAGGTAACGCCTCAAACTTCAGGCTTCACGGCGAAGGTCTAAGGCTCCCCTGGACCCCAGAGGCAAAGAGGTCCGCTCACACAGAGAGGCCCAAGGCCGGGAGGGCGAGGTGAGGCAGGGGAGGCAGAGGCGGCAGGTGGAAACACAGAAGCGAAGTGTCCTTAGCAGAGACATGACTGCTGTGCAAAAGGCAATCCTGGGGGGCCTCAGAAGCACCACGGTCAGCAGGTTGACAATACGATGCCAACGCACAAGTTCAACTGCATTTCCAGATCCAGTAACATCCAATCATCAGTTTAAAGTTTAAAAAAAATACTGATTATGGTGATGGATTCATAAATTATACACTTTAAATATGTGCAGTTCATTACATGTCGATTATATTTCAATAAATCTATTAAGAACACAAAATACCTCAACTTCAAGGTCCTGGCACTTCGGATTGTGAATGAAGAAAGTGAAGTTTTCCTCCCACACAGGCTCATTGGTTTTGTACCGAATCTGAAAGAAATATCCCTCAATCAGCTCTCCGCTCTGTGGCTCCTTTCTGTGTTTATTAGTTATGTGTTTAGAAGCTAGGAATGACTTTAATTAATTTCAAGACACATATTAGTGAGCACATACTGTTATGTATCAGTTGTGGAAAGTACTCCAAAGACAGTCCCAAGCTTTTAGAGTATGCCGGGCTGCAGAGCCCCAGCCGGGTGCCTTCCCCGTGGCCTGGGCCTCTGTGGGCTGCACAGCTCTGCATTCAGGAAGCTCCTCAGACTAACGGTGAGCAGGTGAGTGTGAACAAAGGCTGTGACTTTAAACAGTCCCTGAATGCTTCTCTCGCATCAGGAGAGTGGGACCTACTGCAGCAAAGGGGATCCTCTCTCAACACTTGAGGGAACTGCATTGGCTACATCGTAAGCAACTTTGGTACCTTTCAAACAAAATATTTACAGAACATTCAAAGAAAACCTTCACCTATCATGAAATCAAGCAAAAGAATATTCACATTATTTTTTAATGTTACTTTTTAAAGTGAGCAATATGTTTGTTACCAAATTAAGGAGGTAGTAATTTATGAAATGAAAAAAGATGGAAATTAGGGATCTCGACACCATCACCTGACGCCAGTCACCACCCGACAGTGAGCGCCAGTGCCGTCCCAGGACCTGGTCCCAGGACACGGTCGGCACACAGCCTTACCTTGCTCTCCTGGGCCTTGTGACCCACTGACATCTGCACGAGGGGGCTGGGGCTGCTGTCCATTTTCTTCCCAGACTATCCAAACACAAACGCAGAGTGAGGAACGACACCTGGAACAGGCTTGTTGACAATGAAACCACTGGCTACACTTCACAGTCATTTCTACTTACTTCTGAGACTTCAGTTTACAGGGACTATCTGGGAATAACTGGGAAAGAATCACTAAGTACAACCCAAACCATAATTGTATCTCTCATAATATACTAATAGGTCTATTTACACACACTTTTTAAGTGTTAAGTCTTAGTTTTAGAGCAAACTACTTTGAAAAAATGAAATCTTCTTAATATCTTTTTTGATAATTCCAGCTCTCAAAACTTATTTGACTGGAATAACAAAATAAATAAAGTGAAAAGAATGAATAGAAAAACATGAGCAAGGACAAATGTAAAAGAGTATATAATTCAGCCTGGCCGGTGTTGCTCAGTGGTTAAATGTTGACCTATAAATCTAGAGGCCACAGTTCATTCCCGGTCAGGGTACATGTCCGGGTTTCAGGCTTGATCCCCAGTATGGGCATTGCAGGAGGCAGCTGATCAATGATTCTCTCTTCATCATTGATGTTTCTATCTTTCTCTTCCTCTCTGATGTCAATAAAAATATATATATATTTAAAAAAAGAGTATATAGCCCTAGCCAGTTTCGCTCAGTGGATAGGGCGTCAGCCTACGGACTGAAGGGTCCTGGGTTTGATTGTGGTCAAGGGTACAATACCAGGTTGCAAGCTTGATCCCCAGTGAGGGACATGCAGGAGGCAGCCTATCAATGATTCTCTCTCATCATTGATGTTTCTATCTCTCCCTCTCCCTTCCTCTCTGAAATCAACAAAAAAATATAGTTTTAAAAAAGTATATAATCCAGAACAGTTCTCTGGTTGGAATAATAAAAATACTACCAAGTGTCAGAAACATGTTTTCACAGTTTTAAGTTAGCATCTTCTGTTCAAACATGTAGCTATCAGATATCAAGTCTCATTGGCCAGCGCCTAAGTAATTTTGACTGGAAGAATAAACATCAATCTAGAGTTGCATTCAATTAAGCAGATATGAATATAATTTTAAAAGTGGCAAGCAGCATATTTTTTAGCTGATAGAAGAAAACATAAGTAAAACACAACTATATGGGATATGAGGTTTATTTATAACTTAGCCCCTCAGAAGATTCAATTAAATATCTGTTAGTGGAAATTAATTAGATCACGAAAACATTTTAAAGTCAATCCACAACACTGCAGCAAAGATAAACATAAGCATCAAACTCATGACTATTGGAATAAAGTTATTACTAGCCCACACCTACTGGTTCATCTTTTTGATGTGAATGAATTCTGTAAAACGAAATAAATACTGTTAAAAAACTCAAAAGCTAGACTACTGTGGCAGAGATACCACTTTCCCCCTCAGTCTACTGTCCCTCCTTCCCCGCCGTGAGATCCCTGGTCTGTGACGGGGCCCAGGCTCTGCAGGCCAGCATCCTGTTTCTGAAGCTCCCTGGCAGGCAGGTGTGGCAGGTGCAGTCTGGCCTGAAAAGGGGAGGCATTCTCCCACCCTTTCCCAGACCCCGTTCTGGATGGAGGTAGTGAGCAGGCAGAGCCCCAGCCAGATTCTGGGACGCTGGAGGGAAGTTCCTCTGTCTTGCCGAAACTACAACTTGTGAATCTGATTCAGAAGCTGAGTGTCTTTCTTAACTAATATACTTACTTCATCTCTGAAAAAGCAGCCATTCATTCCTTATAAATTATAATATTTATAAGACCTTTTTTTTTTTTTAACTTTCTACTTTGAAAACAATGAAACTCACAATTGCTGACTTTATGTACCTGCTTTTGGGAAAATCAAGATACTGGGGAAATAGCTACTCCCTTAGCCCACTTAGCTTGTCTCCATTTTCCTTCTGCGTGTGCATGTGTGTGACTGGTGGGAATTCGTTTATCCTCAGCCTAAAAGTCTTTAATAAGTATGAAATAAACACTAGCAAACCTTTACTGACATGTTTTCTTTCTTGGTGGTACATAAAGTAATGATGTATCTTAAGTAAATGACATTTTAGATTCCAAATCACAAAGTTTTCTATTATGATTCCACCTTCAGCACAACTCAAAGACACAGATATCATGAAAGGAAGTGGAGACTTTCCTGAACTTACAGCTCAGCTCCTTACCCCTTGACTAGTGAGTCCCACAGTTTATCTAGTTGAACCCTGGTTCTCAGGTCTATGAAATGGGCATGATACCATTTCCAGAACCCAGCTGTCAGGCGTAAATGAGGTTAAGTAAGAACAATTAAATGAACACATTGGACTAGCTGCATGGAACTCTTTCCATGCATGATCTCATTTAATGTACTCACTACTCCAGCAAAGACGACACTGTCACTTCTGTCCTATAAATTATTAATTCATGCTGGACTCCAACCCAAGCTGCCTTCAGTTCTCAGCTTGGGGCCAACCACAACATAGAAATCGGGGGGAAGCTTGTTGATACACTCCTTACAGTGTTAGGGGTGACAGTATGTCAACTACTGCGAACAAGGTGCAGCAAGGACTTAATAAAAGCTACATCAAAGCAGCCTTTATCTGGCCTGGCCAGTTTGGCTCAGTGGATAAAGCATTGACCCATGACCGAAAGGTCCTAGGTTTGATTCCGGTCAAGGGCAAGTACCTCAGTTGCAGGCTCATCCCCAGCCTGGGCCCTGGTCGGGGCGCGGGTGTAGGAGGCAACCAATCAATGTGTTTCTCTCATATCGATATTTCTGTCTTTTCCTCTCTTTTCCTTTCTCTCTAAAAATCATTTGAAAATTATCCTCGGGTGAGGATTAAAACAAAAAACTAAACAGGCTTTATTAGTCTTCCCCACTTTTGAAATGTAACTTATTCTCCTAGATAAAACTGATTTAAAAACATTCCTGACTCCTTTCTATGGAATTTTCTTAAAATAATTACATTTAAGCTCTCCCCTCAAATATCTAAGCCTATAATGTTCAAAGAAATCAAAGAAAAAATAATAAAACATGGAAAAAATAATAAGTCATGGAAAAGTTTAACAGTTTGACTAGAAAATACATGTTGCTGGTGACTCAGGGAGTGGAGCTCAGTTTTCTTTTCTTTTCTTTAAATATATTTTATTGATTTTGTACAGTGAGGAAGGGAGAGAGATAGAAACATCGATGAGAGAGTTATCGATCAGCTGCCTCTTGCACACCCCCTACTGGGGATATGCCCGCAACCAAGGTACATGCCCCTGACCGGAATCGAACCCGGGACCTTTCAGTCCCCAAACTGACGCTCTATCCATTGAGCCAAACCGGTTTTGGCATGGAGCTCAGTTTTCAATGTCCCTCACTAGTGACATGGACGGCTTCTCCAGAGACCTGCCCTGCCCACGGAACCGCCTGACTCGGCATACTGGGAGAGGTGCCGTGTACACAGACAGCACAGTGGCAAGGTGCACCCGCCATCAGGGCTGAAGACTGGCTAAGATTTTAGACAGAACTTATAGTTCATCATTTTCACAAACTGAAATCCAACGGAAACAGAGCATGTCAAACCACCTTAGATACTGACAAGACAATGTGTCATTTATCAGACTGGAACTTTATAAAATTATCTTCAGAGCTGACTTAAATTCTCTACTAATTATTGGTCAACAAAAGTAGGCTCTCCACCAACCACTAACTGCTGATTAGTAACACACTGTGAGGCTGAAGCATCATCTCTTTCAATATGTCTTCATGAACTTGCAAAGGGAAGCATTGGTTTACCTTTAAAGCTTTCTGAACTGCAGTCTTCTTCAAGACACCGGGGTTAAACCCTAACGGGTTACTCTTTCCCGCAGAAGATGAACACACCAAGGGTTAATCAAACATGCAATGAGGAGATTATGTAAGGTTAACGACATGAAAACTTATGAAAACAAACAAACAAAAAAATCTTTAAACAAAAAACACCAGCAAGAATTACACAGAAACAGTAAAAAACCATTTGTAAAATTTTTCTGTATGCTCACGATTTTATCTTAGAAGGAACCTTTAACCTGTCAGCATCAAACATATGTGCTTCTCCTCAGTGGTTACTCTTCCCCTGAACTTCAGGATTGAAAATCCAAGTGCTGCTTTAAGAAAGGGTTCTATTTACTACCCTTTGCTTGAATAAACCCCTAAAATACCTATAATTAGATGTTATCTAAATACCAACCCATGGGCCACAGTTGCCCAAATCACTCTCAAGCCAAATTCTATGCTATCGTAGCAGAAGCACACCTCTCCATTCTGACACGTGCTGTCTCTGCCAAGGCCACTGCAGAGACGGGCCTTCTTACTTCGTCCCCCAGTCTCTCCCAAGTGTAAACTGGGAGGAAGGTTGGCTCACCAAGTTTCGCAAAGTTTTGATGTCCTGAATTTATTAAATCTGAGTCTGTAAATTCATTACTTTCTGGCCCTTGAAAGGACAAGACTGAGTTGTTTTGCAAGCTCCTTCAAAGACTAACATGTAAGATTAAAATTTTTATCACTTTTGTTGTAATGACGGATTAAATTTTAATACTTTTTATAAAAAGTAGATTTTATAATGAGGAAATGGGACTGTGGCAGGCTGGACCAGGCACGGGGGTCAAGCATCTGGCCCAGAGGAATGAATGGGACATGAGAGCCAGTTCTCGGGCGCTGGACTCTCCAGGTGTTTCTCTGGGGGGAGTCTGGGTAAGCGAGGCTGGGAACTGCTGCCTGAGGTGTGAGGGATGACAAATACCTCCCTCAAGTTCTTAAGACAGTGGGCCGTGTATGGAATGTGCACATCACCCTAGCCTGCATCCATGTGGGCACAGCGGGGCCAGAGGCTGTGTGTGTGGTGGGGGACGGAGGGGAGAGGGGGTTGCGGAGCTGTGTGAGGTCATGGAAGCTGCACAAGCCTGGGGTGACACAGGCAGGGGCCCAGCATGAGGCCCCCCAAACGTCACAGCACCTTCCACCTGGACCCCTCATCTTAACCGGCAGCACTGCCACCTGTGCCCCTTGATGAGGAAGCACCAGCATCAATACTCTGCTCCCCCCGCTTACAGCCAGCGTTTTCACAGGCAGTGGGCATGAGCATGAATGCGCCTCTCAAATAAACCCCGCCCACACTCAAATGGAGCACAGCCCCCAGCTCTGCCACTCACCAGCCAGGACCCTGGCTCTCAGCTCAGTCCCTCAGCTCCCGCTGTCTTCTACCTGAGACTAAGGGAGCAGTGCACACAGAACCCCTGCAAAGTGCAGTGCAGACACGAGTGGCCAGGAAGCCAAAGGCCTAGAGGGGCCCCAGGAGTCAGAGGCACCATGGCTTCCCTCTGAAACCCCAGCCCAGGGCTTGAGCAAAAGGAGGAGAGTGGAGCTCCAGTCACCATGGAGGGGCATCTCCGGGCTGGACACAGTGCTGCTGCTCTGAGCAGGGAGGAGGTAGGGCTGAGAGGGCTGGCCACTAAGGCCTTTCCTAGAAACAGGAAAGGGCTCGGCATGGGGGAAGCTGAGAACACAGATCCTCTGCACAGTGACAACCAACAGGTTTGAAAATATAATACAATCACTTTGTTCCAATTTAGTTCATGGAGCACCTGGTAGGGGCGATACTGGAATCACAAAGCAGAGCATGTGGTTTTGACAATGGAGGAGGAAAGTAGCTTTAGGACTGAGAAGCGTCACAGAACATGACAAAGCAACTAGAGCCCCGACGCAGGGCAGAGCGTTTACGGAATGAAAACAGAAGCAGCTGAACAGGACCCTGTCTCACTGAAGGGCAGGCAAACAGATGCCCCTGAGCACCGCCGGGGGTCACACAGGGCAGCTGGCGGGGCATTTACTGACGGGGTGACGGAACCTCGCCCCTGGAAGTCCTGACCTTCCTCCTCTATCACCTGGACAATACCCCTCCTTTTCAGGTGGAAACAGAAAGGAGAACGCCCCACGGCTGCAAAGCTGCCCCCTCAGCTCCCAGGGCCAGTGACTGGAAGAGTCTCACCAGTTGTGAGCTACTAGTAAGTCAGGGATTAGCCAAGAAAGAGTGACCCTCTGGCCTAATGACTAAGCATGGTGGCTTTCTTTTGCCCTGAAGAAACTGAAAATAACTGTTTGCTAAAGGCACCAAGGTGCCCAGCCACACCCTGGGAAACAGATGGAACGAGACCAGCTTCCCAAGCAAGGTCGGCCCGGCTCTGCCCGCTCCAGGAAGTGCCCTCCGCCCTGAGGAGCGGGGCCCACACTCCGGGCCTGCTCTCCCGGGGACTGGTCAGCGGGAGGGAGAAGGTGAGCTTTCGGGCACCGAGTGCACGTCTGTCTTCACTGACCACACAGGCACAGGGGACTTTAAGGAAAGCCAAGTGCTCAGGCTTCTGCCTGGTCAGGAGGAAGCAGACTTGAGGGAGGTGTTTGAAACTTGCAAAGAAATATTTACATCTCACAGTGAAATGAACCACAAAAACCCAATGAATCACTGTGGTTTCCTTTTTCCATGGAAGAGTTTTTATTTTATCTTTTCCTGGGCTTCCTTATGGCTCAGGTTTGTTCATCTCATCATCAGATGTAGTCACCAATGTTAGTCACAGCAAAAAGCACCAAATAAGCACACACAGGAACTGAAATCATGCAGGAGTAGACTGCATGCCACGCCACACACCGCGGAGACAGCACCTGGAGCTCCCATGCACGTTCCCGTGTCCACAGCACACAGGAGAACATGGACTCACAAACAGTGCTCTATAGACCGAGGCGGTATTCTCACAGAACACCAGTCCGGACGCTCGCCTCTCTTTTAAGTGGCCACACCCAAAGCTTCCCTCGTAGATGCTCTTGGAAGTGGCAATGGGAGGAGAAAGCAAATGGTGGGTTGTGATCATCGCACACACAAGCAGCACCAGTAACAGGAGCGCAAAGGGCAGGCACAGAGCCACGGACGGGGAGCGCCGCCACGCTCCATGGAAGTGGCCCGGCGGCAGCAGTGCCGTGAGGGCCCTCTGCCCGTTGGCCAGAGCAGCTTCCCACACCGATGCCTTTAACAGGGGTTAATAGGTTCACTTGCTTTTTTTTGCTTCTGTGACATCATTCAAATTTTAATTTAATGTAATAACCACAGTTCTGATATATTATTCTATATATCCTAAAATACAACACATTCATTTCCATCAGGCATGATCAAGATTTGATAACAAACATTGTGGTTAAAAATAAAAATTCTAGCCGAAACTGGTTTGGTTCAGTGGATAGAGTGTCGGCCTGCGGACTGATTGTCCCTGGTTCGATTCCAGTCAAAAGCATGTACCTTGGTTGTGGCACATATCCCCAGTATGTTTCTAACTATCTATCCCTCTCCCTTCCTCTCTGTAAAAAATTAATAAAATATATTAAATAAATTAAAAAATTCTACCACACAAGAAATTCTGTAGAAATGTTAGGTAATAAAGACACAACGTCCCCCAAATTGAAACTGGAACAGATAGAGCCACAGGCTTCAAACTGGAAGGCAGGCCACAGGGGAACACTAACAGAAACCAGAGCCACGTGGGTAAGGAAGCCGCCCACGGACCCAGGGAGGGCCCGCGGAGTGCATGCCACCTGCGCGGTGCTGTGTGCTGCGCAGACCGCTGGCTCCGGTCGGGGCAGGGAATCCTTGTCAGCGAAGGGTTAGTTTACACGTGACTTTTTAGCTTGGGGTTGGCAGCTCTCATCCCCACGTTGGTCAAAGGCCAACTATCTGTACAATTACACAGAGTTCAATTACATGTTCCCAACATGAAGAAAGCTGGATGACTGCTCAGAGTGGAATTGTTAACACTTTAAACAGAGTGTCTGATACACCACACCCGCCTATGCTGTGAGCAAAGCCCAAGGAGGCACAGTTTGGGACCTTGAAAGGTGCGAACTGAGACGAGGTGTGTGACTTCCTGAAGCACAGGACACACCGTCCAGCCCTGACCTGAGGCCAGAATGGAGGCCACGTGAAACGCTGAGTGGCGGCGTGGGCTCGGCCGCACCGATGACCTGGACGGTGAGCTTCACCATCATCGTGGGAGGGCACTGCGTCTGGGAGCAGTCGTCTTTCCGTCAACAAAATCGGCCTCAACACCAGGAAATACAGCAAGAATGGATCTCCTGAACAAGTGAGCGAGCACTCAAGAAATCGTCACAACAGTCTGCCTGGCGCGGCTTAGTGGCTGAGCAGCGACCTGAGACAGGCGGTCACGGTTCGATTCCCCGTCAGGACAATGTCCAGGTTGCGGGCTCATCCCCAGTAGGGAGCATGCAGAAGGCAGCTGATTAAGGTTTCTCTCTCATCACTGATGTTTCTCTCTCTCTCGCTCTCCCTTCCTCTCAGAAATAAATAAAATATATTCTAAGAAACATATCAAACCAATAGGACAGTATAATGAGCGCTGGGGTCAAACTTGGTGGGGACCAGAGCAGGCCTCCCATGACTGAAAATGTGCATGGCTGTTCTTCTCCAAGTCACAGTGACTGCCTGTAAAAACTGTGCTTTATGGCTCTTGCTAAGCAAAACAATTCTGCTGCGAACAAGGAGCACTGCTCTGGGCGCAGGAGCCACGTGTGCGGCAGGAGCCGCCAGGGGCAGTACGTGCCAGCCGGCCAGGCAGCGTGTCTCCACACCAGGGCGCTCAGTACTCAGTCCTCCCACCATGAGGCGGCTGCAGGATGAATCTGGGTTTGTCATCAGAGCTGCTTCATTTTGTCCCATGCCAAGTAGAGAATGAAATGTTACTACTCAGTGACTTCCTATAGAGCATCCTCTTCTCTAACTACCAGGGAGCTGGATAAATCTCCCCTGTATGAGAGATTTCTGCATAAAACAGGTCAGAGTAAAGGGCCATCATGATGATAAAAAGGAGTTTAACATACTTTTGCACCACCCACCCCACGCGGCTCTGGGCTGGGTGAAGAGAACACACAGCAACTGGAACGGGTGACAGTGTGGACACAAGCACGCACAGGAGTTCCCATGGTGCTACCTACCGGAAGGTTCCTCGCTGAATCCAAATACAAGATGAGCAAGGAGGAGGAAAGGCCGTCGTTGGCTTGGTCTTTGTCGGCCCTGATGTCTGTCAGCACCTACCAGGAAGGAGAAGTCTCAACAGGCACATTTCCACCTGGCTTTGGACTCCTGCTACCCAACTGTGCCTGTAATGCTCAAGCAAGGGGAGCGAGGGAGCAGAGAATCCCAACATGTGCAAGCAGAGCGGGAACAGAGAAGCCCCCGATACGTGCAAGCGGAGTGGAAATAGGAAAGATTCTCTACAAATCAAAGGAAGGACAGTGATCTGTGGCCCTCCAAATCCCTGCTCTGCATCAAGCACAAGATTTGAAGATCTTGTAACACAGGTGAAAATGCCCTTCAAATCTTTTCTTCAAGCGGCATCATCTCTAATGTATCCGAGGCCACTGTGGCAACTACAGCACAGCCACCCAGGTCCCGCTAGCCCCGGCCGGGCATGCCGCACGGAGGGAAGGAGCCGCCTCAGCCGCAGGAGCGGGACTCACCTGGTCCAGGCGGGCAGCGTGTGGCGTCAGCGTGAGCCACTCCAGTTTCAGGTGCAGCTTTCCTCTGGGGACCTCGTCCAGGGCGAACCACTGAGGACAAACGGCGCAGGGTTAGCAGTTCTCTCCTGAATCGGCATTCAAGTCCCCAGTCTGCACTCTGTCCCAAGAGGCTTAGAAGCTTAGGGCCTGTGGCACCCACTGCTCACTGAGACCGGGACAGAGCCTCCATACCCAGCCCTGAGCTCTCTCCAGAAGCACATGGCCCGTGCCCAGGACCACGCCAGCCCTGACTGCTGCCTGGCCCATGGCAACGCTTCACAAACACTAATCCCTGAGCTCATCAGAGCCCTGGGAGGTAGGGCTCACCCTAATTTACATGCAAGGATTCAAATGTCCACCCGCTCCATCAGCTCCTATGTATCGACTTTAATAGAACTTATGGGCCTAATATAACATCAAACCCAAATGATGAATTTCACTATCAAACAAGTGAGCATGTTTGTTTTTGTTCATCACTACATACTAATAACAAAATAGCACACGGTTATTTCAACTCAAAAGCCACACAGCAGTGACCCGAAGGCGGCCGGAGCCCGTGCTGGATGAGCCGCTGCGGACAGGCCCTGCGCACCGGCGGCTCGCGCTCCCGCTCCGACCGCAGCGCCGACCTGGAATGACGCTTCCCTTGGCCAATCCCACCCACGTTCACAAGCCCCACCAACTCCCTCCTCTCGCTTTCATTCCAATAGCAGCATCTGCCTGAAGGGCATCTGCTCGCTGCAAGTCCCTCTGCCTTTACAGCGCCTTCCCGGGACAACCTCCTACGGTCAGCACAGCCCGCCTGCTGTGGCGCCAGCATCTTTAAAATGCATGGGACGGGGGAATGCACCGCCTCCCGAAGGAAGGCCGCTTGTGCAGGTGTCCTCAGCAGTGTCCAGCGGATGTGGTAGGTACTCAGCACACACGCTATGACTAGGTTCTCAGGCTTCTTTTCACTTTGCTATTTATTTCGAACAAGCTTAAGTTCTCATACCTGAGGGGCAAATGCTGAGTTTTCAGGATGGGGAGGGGCAGGAAAAGGCCAGTGTTCGTAAGTAGAACGAGACTCGCAGAAAACTTACTTCATCTAGAAGGCGCTCCTTTTCCACTTCGGCCAGGTCGATCATGAGACTAGAGAAACAACACGACAGTTCAGAGCACAGAAGCACGCTTCTCACAGACCACCCGAGGCGTCTGTCTAGAACAGAGGACTCCAGAAACCAACAAAATGCTAGTTTATCAAGAGCAGACTGTGGGCTATCCTGCACCCATCTAAGCATGGGTCTATCCTTTTACTTTTTATCCAGTCCCGGAGTCTCCCCACTCTGCTTCCTCCCGCCTCTCTAGTCTACCACCAATGGATTTCATGGTTCCCACCTGTCTCCTCCTTTGAGTGCAAGGTATAAAAATAGATGAGAACCCACAATTCTCAGAGCACTATCCCAATCTGTTACGATACTGCTTCCTAGCAACTCTTTGGTTCAAATAAACTCACAAAAACTTTTTACAGGTTGAAGTGCTTTTACATTAGCAATAATGTGTAAAAACCCATCCCTACAAGCCACGGCAAGGCTGCCTGCCTGGTGCAGAGTGCTGCCCTGGCCTGCAGGCCAAAGCTGCACGGGGCTACTGAGCACTAAAAATGGGGCAAGCGCAACAACTAAAATGATTTTTGAATTGTGATCACTTCAGTCAGTTAACGGAACTGGCTGCTGTGCTGCTGGCTGCTGACAGACACAGAGCTACAAGCGTGCCTTCTTACTCCAAGAATGGGTTAGGAACTAAGCGTGTCAGGAAGCTTAAGTGAGGCAAACATTATATCTAACAGCCACTTAGAAACCCACTCAACATGAACACAAATCTGCCAATGAAGTTAGTTTTAAGAGATTTTTAAAAACAAAGCATGACCTGCACTCTGCTCAGTCGCCAAGGACTTACCTTCCTAGAAAGTCGTCCTTGTCTGGGTCTTCGTCAAAGAGCTCAATCTCCAGCTCCTGCCCAGGATGCTCATAGACCAAGGCCTGGAAGGTCAGTGACGGCAGTGACTGACGTTTCACAACAGAGTCCCCACCGAGCACGTGGTCAGCGACAGCACCCGCGCTGCCTCCAATGCGTCCTCAGCGAGCCCTTCCCCGTTCTCAGTGTGAACACGTCATCTCCCCACGGAGACGGGCACCCACACGGCCCAGCCCGCTGCGCTTGTTTCGAGTGGGGGCATCCAGGGGCCTGAGTTCAATGGCTCCAGGACAGGACAGGCCTGCAGAGGTGCAACCCCCCCCCCCTCACACACACACACACTGTCCTCGGGTAACCAACCACCACAAGCACTGCTCAAAGGTAAGGAATTCGGAGACAGGCAGACTGGGGTTGAGAAGCTGGTGGAGCGTGACCCACACTAGTCCTGGGGGACGCTCTGCTCCCAGCACATGTGGCTTATGGTGTGGCAGTTCCATACGGAGGAAAGCGACTGACACTTGCACAGCACCAGGTAAATACCTACTGAACTGGCAGCAGAGCTTTCTCCAGGAAAAGAAATGGAGCATCTACTCAAGTGAATGGCTATTGTAAGTCAGGTCTGTCTCTATCCTATACAATAAAAGCATAGTGTGCAAACTGTCCCCTGGACTAGGAGACAATTCGTCTGGGAGTTTGACCAGGGGATGGTGCCAGCCAGGGGACAGGAGGGAGGCCCTGGCCAGCGGCAGTGGCAGCAGGCGACTGGGGGAAGGGAGTACCCAGTCAGCAGTTGGCAGCTGCTAGGGATCCTACCAGTACATGAATTTCGTGCACTGCGCCTCTAGTAGATAGATCTGTTTGTGTATATATATTTAATCCTCACTCGAGGACATTTTTTCATTGATTTTAGAGTGGAAGGGAGAGGGAAAGACACGAGAGAAACATCAATGTGAGATGTTTCATACCAAAACACATCAATTGTTTGCCTACTGCATGAGCCCGAACCAGAGCCGGGCCTGGGGCATAGCCTGCAACTGAGGTGCTCTTGACCAGAATCGAACCTGGGACCCTTCGGTGCACAGACCAACGCTCTATCCTTTGAGCCAAACCATCTAGGGACACATTTGTCTATATTTATTGGCATATATTGATGTTCAGGTGTGTAAAAAATAATTTACAAGACAGTACCTAATTTGACTTTTGCATATATACTTAAAACATTCACATGAGAAATTTTGCCAATTATGCATTGTGATCGTTTTATGTAATTAAAATCTTAAGTGTTGGTATGACAAGAATGTAGTGTAGAGAATACAGAAGGTGCAACGCTTTCTTAAGATGGGACTCTGAAGCGAGAATTTAAATCTCCACCTCCACGAACTATGCCTGGGCGACAGGGTGGGAGCGCGGTGTAGGACAGAGCCGCGGCAGCTGCGAGGGCCTTACCTCATACACCTCGTGCCACTTGGGACTCAGGTTCTCTTTGATGACCTTGCTTTGGAAGATCTGGTTGCCAACTCGAATAACTCCATAGGGGTCTGACTTTCCCTTGACAAGCCCCTTAAGGTAAGTGTCCTTCCCCTGGAGGTCCTGAGCCTCGATGAAGTGTATCCTTAGGACACCCTGAAGAAGACAAGAGCACCAGCTGCTCACAGGGTCATCCAGACAGGGCACGGCTGGTGCTGACCAGCGGTCGCAGGAGCGCGGCGCAGAGTGACAGCGATGTGACATGTCGGGAAGCACAGCGGGCAGCACAGAGGACCGGGTGGGACTCCTCAGAGGCAGTGGCAGAGGGCGTGGGCGAGCAACTTGTGCAGAGGCCTCGTGGGACACTGCGCGCCAGAGCCGAGCGGGGTCAGAGCAGTCAGACCACACATTCCAGCTCTGCTGTGCCCCCACATAAGTGACACTAACGTTACGGGTCGGACCTGTGCCCAGGCCGTGATGTGTAGCTTACTTTGTTCTGTTTTTAAAACAACCCTATGAAATACTGTCATTAGCCCTATTTGTAGATGGGAAACTAAAACTCTGAAATACACACTATTCATGGACTCTTTTTCTAAAATGTTTAATAGATAAAGTGAAATGTTCACTCACTTCTTTTCAGGCAAACCAAGATGGGAAGGTCAGCCTTTCCCTGAGAGCCCTCTGCAGACAGGCGGGGCCCTGCTCCTGACCGGCACACGGGAAGGTATGCGTTTTATCTTCCACCTGCTCCCCCCCAGCCGTTACCGCTCAGACCGAGGACACCATCCTCCTCGCTGAGACGAAGCTGTGAGGTTTGCCAGTACAGACAGGATGCTGGCGGAGATGACAGCAGGTGCCATTGTTCCGTGTGGCGGGCTTTGAGCAGGAATGTGTGAAGTGGCGGACGGGTACGTCTATGAGTGGTAACAGAGGCCAGGACACGCTTACCTTTGGGATCGGAAACCGCAACTGGGCTATTTGAACTTCACTGACGAGAGGAACAGTGATTCGATTGGGAAGAACCAGATAGTTTGATATTATATCCAAAATGATGGTATCTGATAAACCACTGTTAGGTGAGAGGAAAAAAGAACAGAACAGTCATCAGATACTTCCACACTCGTTACAGCCTCAGCAGTAAACACACCACAAACATGATACAACCACCCACCCATTTATAGAATAGGGGCACTCTCTCCCCCAAAACACGTTTAAAACCAGCAGGTCAGTCTATTGATGTGGTCCTGCCACTGTGCCGGTTATGAGGGTTTATTCTGGGAACAGAAGGCAGCATCGACTGCATTTCATAAGTCCTACATAACTCTATCATTGATCTAATACCGAGTAACTAATGTTTCATTAAATTTCTTTAACATCAAATATTTCAAACAGCCGAAGCCGATTTGGCTCAGTGGATAGAGTGTCAGCCTGCAAACTGAAAGGTCCCAGGTTTGATTCCGGTCAAGGGCATGTACCTTGGTTGTGGGCACATCCCCAAGAGGCAGATGATTGATGTTTCTCTCTCGTCGATGTTTCTAACTCTCTACCTCTCTCTCTTCCTCTCTGTAAAAAAATTAATAAAATGTATTTTTTTTTAATTAAAAATATTTCAAACATCCATAAAAGTTCAGATAATACTATAACATCTTTTTACATAGTCTATGTTTATTACACTAAGTTTCTCTTATAATATACTAGGGGCCCGGTGCACGAAATTCGGGCATGGGGGCAGGGGGTGTCCCTCTGCCCAGCCTGCACCCTCTCCAATCTGAGACCCCTAGAGGAATGTCCGACTGACCGTTTAGGCCCGATCCAAATGGGCAGTTGGACATCCCTCTTACAATCCAGGACTGCTGGTTCCCAACTGCTCGCCTGCCTGCCTTCCTGATTGCCCATAACAGCTTCTGCCTGCCAGCCTGATCACCACTAACCACTTCCCTGCCAGCCTGTTTGCCCCCAACTTTCCACCTCTGGCTGCCTGGTCATACCTAACTGCTCTCCCCTGCAGGCCTGATTGCCCCCAACTGCCCTACCCTGCTGGCCATCTTGTATCCACATGGGGGCAGACTCTTTGACCACTTGGAGGCAGCCATCTTGTGTGTTGGAGTGATGGTCATATTACTCTTTTACAAGGTAGGATTAGATAGGATAGAGGCCTGGTGCACGGGTGGGGGCCAGATGGTTTGCCCTGAAGGGTGTCCCAGATCAGGGTGGGGGTTCCCTTGGGGCGTGGAACAGCCTGGGCTTGGAGCATGTGGTGGTTTGCAGGCCAGCCACGCCCCATTGACAACCCAAGAAGAGGCCAGGTATCTGGGATTTACTTATCTTCTACAAACTTTGAAACTTTGTAACCTAGAGCAGAGCCAATCCTGCTTGTTCAGTGGTGGCAGACATTTTTATTGGGACTTATGTATCTTCTACAATTAAAACTTTATAGCCTTAAGAAGAAGCCAGAGCAGGCCAGGACTGCAGAAGCTTGGCTTCCTCCATCACTGGGGGCAACCCTAGCTTCCTGCTCTCTCCAGCTCCATGGCTGCCACCATTTTTGTTGGGATTTATTTATCTTCTATAATTGAAACTTCGTAGCCTTAAGCGGAAGCCTCAGCTGGCCAGGGTGTGCAGAAAGCTTGGCTTCTTCCATCACCGGGAAAACCCAAGCCTCCATCCTGCCCTCTCTATGGCACAGTCATCTTGGTTGGGTTAATTTACATACACAATCCTGATTGGCTTTGTGGGCGTGGCTTGTTTGCATAGCAGAATGATGGTTAATTTGAATATTACTCTTTCATTAGATAGGACTAGAGGCTGGGTGCACAAAATTCGTGCATGGGGATGGGGGTGAGGGCGGGGTGTCCCTCAGCCCAGCCTATACACTCTCCAATCTGGGACATCCCTCTCATAATCCAGGACTACTAGCTCCAAACCACTTGCCTGCCTGCCCGATTGTCCCTAACTGCTCCTGCCTGCCAGCTTGATCACCCCCTACCCACTCCGCTACCAGCCTGATCAATACCTAACTGTTCCCCAACTGCCCTCCCCTGCCAGCCTGGTCACTTTTATTCTTCCCTGCAGTCCTGGTAACCCCTAACTGCCCTCCCCTGCAGGCCTGGGTTCCCTCCCCAACTGCCCTCCCCTGCAGGCCTGCTTCCCCCCTCCCCCGCAACTACCCTCCTCTGCGGGCCCAGTCACCCCTAACTGCCCATCCCTGCTGGCCATCTGTGGTGGGTGGTCATCTTGTGTCCAGATGGGGGCGGCAATCTTTGGCCACACTGGGGTAGCTATCTTTTGTGTTGGGGCGATGGTCAATTTAGATATTACCTCTTTATTATATAGGACTAGAGGCCTGGTACACAAAATTCGTGTACAGGTGGGGGTTCCTGCAGCCCAGCCTACACCCTCTGCAATTAGGTGTCCCTCTCACAATCCGGGACTGATAACTTCTAACTGCTTACTTGCCTGCCTGCCTGATTGCCCCTTACAGTTCCCCTCTGTGGCCAGGTCACCCCTTACTGTCCCCCCTGCTGGCCTGGTTGCCCCTAACTGCTCCACCCACCAGCCTGGTCACCCCCAAATTCCCCCTACGCAAGCAGCCTGCTTGCTCAGTCATCTGGTCACCCCTCACTAGCTCCCCTGCTGGCCTGGTTGCCTCACACAACCTGCTGCTCGTTTGGTCATCCCTTACTAATCCCCCTACTGGCCTTGTCGCCCACTCAGCCTGTTCGGTCGTCTGTTCAGTTGTTTCAGTTGTGATGGCCCTGGCTCTTTATATATATATATATGGATATGCAGAGTTCCTAGGGTAATCAAGAAATTTACGGGTTATTCACACTGCATTTGGAGACTTAATACTGTAATAATTTTGGAATACTATATACACTGAACAGAGAACTGAAGGATTTGGATAAAATTGCAGAGGCTAAAGAAACAAACATACTTTTAGTATGTTTCTTGCCTATTCTTTAGGGTAAATGTGAGAATCGGGTGATGTGCATGTGCATGCCTCTGCAAGCTACACAGTGTCCCTGCGACAGAAGCCACCTCAGGGCCTACTAGGTACTATGAGTCCACTCTCAGACGTAAAGTAGCCATCCCCATAAGAGTACCTGCTGGGCAGCGGGGAGGCCACCGCCACTTAGTGGGCAATAGCGCAGCACTCACGGCAGGCGGGTGTCCGGGGCAGTGTGAGACCGTTCACGTGAGGACTAGGGTCACGCTAACATGTCAGCAAGGCCCCTTTAACCTCTGTAGGAAAGCCAGCAGGAGCAGGTTTGGAGGCTCTAATTGCAGCCACCCAGTTAGGTAGAGATGAACAGGTTTGCTGCAGTCACCTCCCACCAGGTAAGACTGGTGGACTGTGACCCAAGCAGAACCTCCCCCAGGAGTGATGTGAGGCCTACAGACTCTGTGCTCACGGGCAAGCCTCCCGCTAAGACCCTGTATGGCTACTGGCAAGTGGAGGGACTCCAGGGATGATGCGGGAACGTGGGCTTTCCCTCCCCCTTGGTGCCCAGGCCCAGGACTGACATCCAACCCAAGGAGACATGAAAATAACGCAGAAAGGGCTAGTCTTGAAACATTCATTCACTTTTGAAGCTGTCTGTATCTTTCTGGGAAAAGAAAAACCAAATTTAAAAATAGATTTGTGGAATATTACAAGCTGCCACTATTCTGAAGCACTAATACTGAAAGGCACCTTGTGAAGAACAAAAGGTGAGCAGAAGGGTGAGTGACGGAGTCTGACGTCCTACGACCCTCTGCATAAGCGCTTTGAGGCCAGAGGCATGTCGCACCATCAGCACGCGAACCACAGCACATGGCAGCAAACTTACTTCAGTCCTGGGATATCCAGAAGGTTAGTCAGTCCTGTCCAGTTAATTTCTAAAAGCTGTTTAAAAAAAGGGCAAAAAATTTTATCCAAGTTATTTCCAATTATCAAATCAAATCATTGAGATTTCTTTCTCTTTTTTAAAATATATTTTTATTGATTTCAGAGAAGGGAAAGGAGAGATTGAAACATTAATGATGAAAATCACTGATCAACTGCCTCCTTCACACCCCCACTGGGGATCGAGCCCGCAACCCAGGCATGTGCCCTTGACTGGAATTGAACCCGGGACCCTTCAGTTTCCAGGCCAACACTCTATCCACTGAGCCAAACCAACCAGGGCAGAAATTTCTTTTCACTGTTCTGCACCTTGCTTTTCACTTTATAAACCATCAAGACCATTGTGCCCTGTGGGTACATGAAGAGCTGCCTATTGTTTTATTTTTGATGTCAGGTTTCTCCAGTAAAATCATATAATAATTTATACATCTACCCTCCTATGGATGGGCACTTAGGATATTCAATGAATATTTTTTACGTCATGTGCTGATGTGCACACACAAACTGGCATTTAAAAAGTAGACATCCTGGTCAAAGATACATGTTTACTTTGTTATTTGATAGTGCCACCTAATTACCATAGAGAAGGCTATCCCTACTTATATTCCCACCAAAAGTGTATGAAAATGTTTCTTCTTTATAACCTCAACAAAAAGAGATATTAAGAATCAATCCATTTGGCAGTTAAAAAATGGTACTTTATCACTGTTTCAAATTGCCTTTTCCTGATATTAGTGGAGCATGTTCCATTCATTCAACATTTGGGGGTTTTTGATCATTTTTCTGGTGAATATTTACCTTACAATAATTCCTACACAGTTGGCTATGATTCCATTAGGTGGATGGGGATGGGTAAAAACTATTGATTAGAAACACAGCTTTTCCTATCGAAATGGATACTGCACTTACTTGTGTTTATTTTTGTGGGGGAAAAGCTAAGTGAAATTGCATGATCTCATTACCCATATAGCTAAGGATCGCATTCTGGCTCCAATCCCTTTGGGAAGTGGCTATAAATAAGCATGAACTAGAAGAGTCCAGGTTCTCTTGAAAAGACTAAACTAAAAAGCAACCAGTTTTAAGTCCTGAAAGACTGAGGTTTTTCAGCAAAAGAGAAACAAGATGTAAACTTCCAAGGCTAATAGCAGTAAGGATCATGCTCCCTCTTCCCCACCCTCAGGTCCAGAAGCAAAACCACCCAGGAGTAAGCACTGCGCCCACCCTCATTATCACCACAGACCTTTCCCGCTAAGAGGACCAGGGGTTTGAGGGACAGCCATGCCAGGCCTGGGTCACGCTGTGGAACCAGGAAGCTAAGGAATCCTCCGCAGCTGAGGGCCAACGAGAGGCCCTGTCACAGCGGTGGCCTGGCAGGATGATAGGGAGATGAACTCCTCAGGCCACTGGCCACATCACGGCCCTTGTCAAATGCTGCCCAGGCTCAGAGAAACACCACGCCACAGAGGCCGTGCGGGCCTCGTGGTGGACAGAGGTCTGCTGTTTGAGGAGAGATCTGCGTGTAGACAGAGGCCCTGTCCCAGGCCCTGAAGAGGGAGCTGGGGCCGGTGCCCAGAGGGACAGGAGGGAAAGTGAGTGAGGACGAGGGAGTGTGTGAGGACAAGTGTGAGGGAGCGAGAGGAGTGCGTGCGTGTGGGACCCGTGTGAGAGTCTAAGCGCTGAGGCTGGAGTCCACACAGGGACACAGGGAGGAACCAGGAGGAGGGACAAGCAGCTAAAATTAGTGCCCGTCCCCCATGCCTGGATGACTCAGAGCTGTTTCTGGAAACTGGAGAGCTAGGGAGTCGTGTTTCCAGGCAGGAAGCAGCTGAGGGCTGCTGCGGCCCTTCCTCGAGACACGAACAAGCAGTGAGCGGCTGAGTTTCACCTACAGGGTGACCGGTGCGAGCTGCATGGACAGACAGGCCTGCCCTCTGCTCTCCCACCTCCTGTACCCACAGACCCAGCATTTATTTCGGCACCCATGTGCCCCCGGCGTCCTACGCCAGTTATTTCTGCGGCACAGACTGAATCACCGGGAAGTCCCGTAAAAATGCAGGCCGGCAGCTCCCACCCTTCTAGCTCGGTTTTGGCTAGTGGTAAAGGTCAAGTTATTTTCCTATGTCTGAAAGCTCACAGGATCTGCAGCTTCCACCTGGGATACAGAAAACCGGAAAGAGCATCTCCCTCTTCCGTGTACAGGAGCCTGAAACCTTCCTCACAGGCAGCTCGAGGTGAAGGGCGCGCCCCCGCACCCCCCCAGCAGGTGGACTATTCCAGTTAGATCTTAGCTGCTACAGGCAAAGTGGGGCTAAGACAGTGTAACCCTCTGCAATCCAGACACAGGGCATGTGCAACCATTCGGGCCGCAGAGTATGCTGCTGCAGAGCCTGGGCCTGGGCGACCCTTGCTGCAGGGGTGAGGCAGCCGCTGCTGGAAAGACAGCACCCACTTCCCACTGTAAGAAGCAGAAGCCACAGGGGAGGGACACACTGCAGCTGGGGGACAGGAAAAGAGAAGACAGGTGTGTGCCTTGGGGAGGCTAGGACCCCATCACGGGCCCTACCCACCAGAGGCCCCGTGTTTGCTGGACCAACACGTGCAAACCCACCTGCACACAACCCACCAGACACGGCACTCGGAGGGCACTCCCCGAGAGACACCAGCCGAGAGCCAGCAGGGACAGGACAATGCGGAGCTCCCATCCCCCGCCTGGATGGGCGGCTGTCCACGCCCATGAGAGCTGTCCGAACCGCAGACACGGAAGCTCAGAGACCTGCAGACCAATACTGCTAAAGCTCCTGGACTTAGTGTGAGGGGCGGGGGGGGGGGGGGGGGGGAGTTCCTGGCCTGTGGCCTGGGTGCCCATGGGCCTGTCTGCCTGGCCTGCCCTCCATCTCACTGCTGCCTCCACCTCAGGGTTGTAGGACTGGCTTCCAGCACCTCAACCTTCCCACTCCCGCCGGTCTAGGGCCTGTGTCTGACCTGCTCAGCAGAGAGGGATGGAGGGAGAGAGGAGGGAAGATGCACTGCCTCTTGGGAGCACTGGCAGCCATGACTCTGGTGTGAGGACTGGAGACCAGAGGCTGCTGGCCTCAGCGGAGAGAACAGCGAAGGCGGAATGTGGGTGGGGAGATGTCACATGGCTCCTCGTTGTAGCCCCTGCAGAGGTTCCTGAGACACCAGTACCGCTCCCTGGTCAAACAAAGCTCCTCAACGGCTGGAGCGCCGGCCAATGGGACCCACTGCTTCCCCGTCACTCTGACAGGAGAGGTCGCGTTCATCTTGGAGGTGAAGAAAGGAGCCTCTGGTTCACACGTGGGAGGCCCGCCCCCTGCTGGCTAGGAGCCCCGAGGGTCATGCTCAGAGCACATGGACTGTCTCCTGGACACGTTCTGGACTCTCTAGTCTGGCCAGTCCTCCTGGGATGGCCACAGACCTGATGGCAGGAGGGAGTGGCCACCAGGCCCACGGATGTGCAGGAGTAGACACTGGCTTGTTCTGGCTCTTACCAGAACCTTCACCCAAGTACGCATGCTTACCGGTACTTGCTCTCTGATGTCAGGACCCCACCAGCATGCTAAACCTACATGTAGGAAAATGTGTAATTTCTTAAAATCCGAGGACTTCTATGGGCCAGGCACTGTATTACATGTTTTACATCCATCAACATTTATTCAATCTTCACATTTAATCTTCTGACACAGGTATTACTGTAACCCCCTTGTTACAGATGGGAAACCTGGGGCTTAGAGAAATGAAATAAGTTGTTCCAAAGCACCAAGTGGGAGGAGAAAGAAGCAGGAGAGGAAAACCAGGTTGAATGACGGCCACCCTGCTGCACGCTCAGACAGCTGTGCTCCACAGCTCAGCACCTCATGGCTTTGTTTAGTTTTCTGGAGCAAGCAACACGTTATCAAAGCTAGTCTAAAGAAATCAACAAGCAGGAAGATGTGCAAAGGCTTCGTAAGGTTCTCTGACACTGCGCTTCTACATCATCTGGATAGTAAGAATCCGAAATCTCTCCCACTGGACTGCCCTGGTGAGAAGAACTACTTGGCAGAAGGCAATGAATTCTGTCCTTATCTTTCAGCTGAAAGTAACTGAAAATACATCCCCTCTCTTTGAAGCAGGGGGTGACTGTACTCACCATATGAGGAAATTTGAGGCCCGGTGCACAGTATCTGTGCATGAGATGGGGGTGTGTCCCTCGGCCCAGCCTGCACCTTCTGGCACTCCGAGCCCCCTGGGGGGGTATATGACCATCCCTCTCGCACTCCGGGCCCTCTAGGGGGTATATGACCATCCCTCTCGCAATCCGGGCCCCCTGGCTCCTAACTGCTTGCCTGCCTGCCTGCCTGATTGCTCCCTGTCTGATCACCTCTAACCACTCTGCCTGCTGCCTGATTGCCCCGACTGTCTCTGCCTGGGCCCGCCACAGCGGCTTTGTCCGGAATGATGTCCAGAAGATCTTTCAGCTGAACAGCCTAATTAGCATACCATGCCTTTATTATTATAGACTAGAGGCCTGGTGTATGAAATTCATGCACGGGGAAATAGTGGGGACAGTTTCCTCAGCTGGTCTGCACCCACTTGCAATCTGGGACCCTTTGGGGGATGTCTAACTGCCAGTTTAAACTGGCAGTTGGAGATCCCTCTCGCAATCCTGGATTGCTTACTTCTAACAGCTCGCCTGCCTGACTACCTGATTGTCCCTAACCCCTCTGCCTGCCTGTCTGATCACCCCTAACTGCCTCAGCCTGCCAGCCTATCACCCCTTCCTTGACCCATCCCTGCTGGCCTGATCACCCCAACTTGCCCCCCTGCTGGCCTGATCACCCTTAACTTCTCCCCCACCCCCGCCAGCCTGATTGCCCCTAACTTACCCTCCCCCCCACACACACACTGGCTTGACAAACCTTAACTTCCTTCCCTGTCGGTCTGATCTCCCCTAACTGCCTCTGCCTTGGCCCCGGCCTAAGCCACAGTCTGGTCTTCCTCTATGGGAGACCTGGCGGATCAGGGGACGGCGCCACTCCCATTACTCCACTGCTGCTGCTGCCACTGCTGGCCTGAGTCTTGGCCCTTCGCAGCCTCATGCCCGCCGCCACCTGCCCTTTGGCAGCCAGCCTTGCTGTGATTGGAGCCTGTGGGCCATGGGAGAGGGCCCGAGAGGTGCTCCATGCTCCTCATGGTGACCAGTTGTTTGGTCGTTTTGGTCATCCCACACTGCCCTCCGTGGCGGCCTTGTCATCCCATGCAGCCTGCCTGTTGGGTAGTGACAGCCCTTGGCTCTGAGATATATATATATATATATATATATATATATATATATGAGCAAATTGACTTTTCACAGCTTCTTCCTTCTCTCAGCACTAGAACTTTCCTTGTAAGTTAATACTATGATGTGATTTTTAAGGTAAACACACCTAGAATATCCACACTAAGGAAGAGTATTACTAAGTTTTGAGGGAGATTTAAAAATTTTAATTCTGAAATTTTAAAAAAAGGGAATCCTTCATTAAATTGTTAAAAATTCCTTATAAATTACTCAGCAATTTGCTAAAGGTTAGGGTTTTTTTTTTTTTTTTAATATTTATTAATAAAAGTCTCTTAAATACAGTGGCTTTTATACAATTTGTATGTGAAAAAACAACATGGATATAAAATCTTTTATAGATCTCATTTCTCAGAATTTTAATAAGTTAAAATTTAACACAGAAGTTCTTTGGTAGCTTTTGAATTTCACCATGCTCTGTGTATAGCCCCCCTAATCTGAGGAGACTATGTTCCAAGACCCCCAGTGGATGCCTAGAAGTATGGCTACACTGACCCCGTACATTCACTCCGCTCTCTCATGTCAATATCTGGCTGGCCGGTTGGCTCAGCTAGCTGTGCGTCGTACCGTGCGGCAAAAGGCTGCCCGTTCTGAGCCCCGTATGTGCTATGTCTTTTCCGGGATATGAAGACCTATGTGCCCACCGGGTGGCGCAGCTGGTTGGTACATTGTCCCTTGAACCAAAGGTTGGATTTCCGATAAGGGCACATACCTGGACTGTGGGCTCAATTCCCAGGCAAGGAAGCAACGGATCAATGTTTCTCTCTCACATCAACTGTTTAGTCTCTCTCCTTTCCTCTAAGAATGTCTTCAGGTGAGACTAAAAAAATACAAACCTATTATACAGTTTAATTTATATATCAGGCACAGAAAGAGGTTAACAACAATAATTTCTCGAATACGGGCACTAAGACAGCTGATCTGATCACTGAGATGGTTACTAAGTGACTAACGGGTGGGAGCTATGCAGCCTGGAGACCTGGACAACAGGGGATTCATATCCCAGGTGGGACAAAGCAGGCCAGCATGAGAGTTTATCACACTGCTCAGAATGGCGTGCAATTTAAAACTTATGACTTGTTCTTTTATTATTTTCAGACCAAGGTTGACCACAGGTATTTGAAACCAGAGAGAGTAAATATGTGTATAAGACGGGACTATAGTCATTACAATACCTTCAAAATAAGCCCATTATTTAAGCAATGGAAGGCAAGTGAGAATAATAATGTTAATGGAAATAAAAGTAAAGATACTTAATTCTTTTTGTGTTTTTATACAGAAAAAGGACCACTTATAATTTGTCTAGGTAAACCCAACAATAATTTGTATTTAGTTATTTGCATCAAATTATACAATACAGATTCCCATTTTAAACTATCATGACAGCGCTGGTGCCTCCGAAGGACTCGCCTCAGGGAACAGAGCGGCATTTGTGAGAGCTGAGTGAGCAGCAGATCAGCACGTCCATCGGACGCTTGCTGAGCTGCACAGACACACACCCGCTGTGCCCTCCCAGCAGTTCACAGCTGTCTTGGCAAGGAGGAAACTGCCCCCTCTGTCCCGGACGGACAGCCCAGGGCCGAGGGCCGCATTCTGGAGGACAGGTGAGGGATGTGGTGAGGGGTGATGGGTTGTACTAGGCCCCGATTACAGTGCTGCCCTGCGATTGAAACTTGGATCCTCATGGGGCAGTGCCAGGAAAGGAGGTCAGAGACCCCAGCTAGACCACAGTAACTGTCTGCACCACAGACCACCCCTGGTGGTGAGCAAAGCCTACTGAGGGCAGAGCTGAGTCAAATGCGTTTCAGAGGCCGTGGACCCATGAGGAGGAGCCATGCAGGTGAGGAGCCACCAGGAGAGGGAGGAGGCTCCTGAGGGGAGGAGCCTCGGTGAGGAGGAGCCTAAATAGGAACGATATTTTTGTTGTCTTATTTTTGTGGCTAATATGTATTGAATATATATATATATATATATATATATATATATATATATATATATATATATTTATGATTAAAATACAAATCTAACCATGTGAAATGATAACATTTATTATGGTTTATCCAAGTGTAGAATATAATTGAGTAAAAAGAATCTTTATGGCCGTAGCTGGTTTGGCTCAGTGGATAGAACATCTGCCTGCAGACTGAAGGGTCCCAGGTTCGATTCTGGTAAAAGGCAGGCTGAGTCCCCAGTGGGGGATGTGCAGGAGGCAGCCAATCAATGCTTTCTCTCATCATTGATGTTTCTATCTCTCTTTCTCTTTCCCTCCTTTTTGAAATCATATTAAAAATAAAAAAAACACCTGAGACAATTATTTTAAAAAATATATAGACTCTTTATGATTTTAACCCTTCATCCACTAACTGCAGTTCATAAACAGGCTCTGGGTGAAGCAGTGCCAAGGGTGACGGCAGCTCTGCCTGTTGGCAGCAGTGAGGACGGTGAGGGCAGGCCGGGCTGGGTGCAGGCTGCCGGACTTACAGGTTTGAGGACTTGGACAGATTAGACTCAATTCCTGGTCAGTAAATGGAAACTATGTGGTGTTCACTATAGAGAATGAGGCATCATTGAGCAAACACCTACAAATCATACTCAGTACAATGTTAATTACAAACCTACACTAAAAAAAAGCAGTCTATTATTTTCAAATGTTTGTAACAAGCATATTCTTTTTATAGTCAGGAAAATAGTTGTCTATGGGAAGAGACGAAGCCTCCGCTAGGGCATAAAGTGGTGGGAGCTTATAGGACTCACGCATTGGAGGGAGGAAGGGAGCTAAGGAGAGGACTGCTCCTTCACTGGGTGTATCTCCAACGTGTTCACGTTCCTGTCAGTGAGAGGCAGACAGACCGGAATGAACATCGACTTACTGGCTTCCTGAGGAAGAAGATAGACAGCGCTCCCACTAAGGGCATGTCTCCAATCAGTGGCTCCAGGATCACTCGCATTGTGCCGTGAATCTAAGTGCAAATGGAAACCAGAACATGTAACAACCTGCCCTGATGCAGGCCGCAGACGCAGGTGGCCCCGTGCTGCATCAGGAGGAACCTGCAGAAAAATACTTAGCTGCAAAGAAATTCTTGGTTAATAAAAGCTTTGCCACTTTCTTTTTAAATAGAGGATGGAAAATTTTAGAAGACTGAAATAAAAAAACCTTACCTGTATACTTTGCACACCAGCTCTACAAAAATATCGCTTGATCTCCAAATCAATCTCACAATTTCCTACAAAACTAGCAAAGAAAAAAAATTCTGTATTACATTCTCCTCATCACCACAGCCAAGGCATATCAGACACACTGCTCTGGGGGGCCTCCCGCAGATTACGGGTTTGCTACAAATGTCCCTTCCCACATGCAGGCCAGAGCACCTCCATGGAATGCAGTTTTCATTTGTTTTATAAACAGCTATGTTTGTTTAAAACAACGCAGTGCAGATTATCTGCTCCCCGGTCCTGAGAGAACTAACAGAGCGCAGGGACTTTGATGTGAAGATGAGAAACGTAGCCCTAGCCAGTATGGCTCAGTGGATAGAGTGTTGGCCTGAAGAACAAAGGGTCCAGGTTCGATTCCAGTCAAGGGCACATACTTTGGTTGCAGGCTCCTCCCTAGCCTGGACCCTAGTTGGGGTTCATGCAAGAGGCAACCAATTGAGGTATTTCTCTAAACATATCAATGTTTCTCTCAGTCTTTCCCTCTCTCTCCCACTCTCTCTAAAAGCTCAATGGAAAATATTCTTGGGTGAGGATAAAAAGATTAGAAACATATAAAAACGTATCTGTTTGAGGAATCATCTTTCTCACTGATTAAGACATTTCAGCGTGGCTCAGTGATTGAATGTTGACCTATGAACCTCCAGGTTGTGGGCTTGATTCCTGGTCAGAGCACATGCCCAGGTTGCAGGTTGGATCCCCAGGGGGGGCATGCAGGAGGCAGCTGATCAATGTTTCCCATCATTGATGTATCTGTCTCTCCCTTCCTCTCTGAAATAAAAAAAAAATGATTTAAAAAAAAGACATTTCAATCATTAATATGAAAAACATGAAGGAAAGTGAGTGGAATATAAGACTTGCATCTGTGTTTTTTGTTGTTGTTTTTTCTGAGGATATTTTTCCCACTGACTTTTAAAGAGAATGGAAGGGAGGAAGAGATAGAGATAGAGATAGATAAATAGAGAGAGAAAGAGAGAGAAACATCGATGTGAGAAAGATGAATTCATTGGTTACCTCCCACACATGCCTTGATCAGGCTGCTGATCAAATCTGCAACCCAGGTACATGCCATGACCGGAATCAAACCCGTGACCCTTTTGTGTGCAGGCCAATGCTCTAATCACTGAGCACACTGTGCAGGGTTTGCATTTGCTGTTAACATAACCATGAAGTGGTAGCTGCCTTTTGGGTGGAATCTGTATGAATTGACCCGTAACCCTGGGCTCCAGGTGCAGGTCATGCTCGACCTGAGAGTGTCTGCAGGAGGCCTGCTGAGCGCTGCACAGAGTGTCTAGCGCCTGAGCACAATAACTGGGTCTTCATCAAGATTTTAGTCAAACCCCCAACACATCAGGTACACCCACCTTACGGGAAGAGGTAAGAGACGCTATGTCATCAACTATGACCCAAATAGAACAAATAAAAACTTACCTAATCTGAAGGTCCAAAATAATTTGCCTTTTGTCCACATTTTCAGTGTATACCTTGACACCATTGATCCTGAGGGGCTGAAGCGAGAAGTGGTTTATTTTCAATGCAGGGATGGTAAAAACACAAACAATGGCGAAACAGCCAAGTGGCGAAATCACAGGCGGCATCCAGCTAGGAAGTGCGCTTTGGCACAGGCCGTGGGAATCAAACTCAGCCCCCGGGTGTGCCAACCGGCTCGCTACCAGCCATTCCTTCACCTGTTCTTCCATGGATGAGGCTATTGTGAAACCACAGATCTGAGGAACGTGGTCTCAGGTTCGAATCCCTGCTAAGAGCACGTACCTGGGTTGTGGGGGGCCAGTTGGGGAATTCTATATGTGTCTCTCTCACGTAAAAGTTTCTCAGCCCCCCCCTCCACTGTCTCTGAAAAGCCATGGGAAAAAATATCCTCAGATGAGGATTAACAAAACAATGTATACACCTAATTAAAAATGCTTTTTTGCTAAAAACATGCTGTCATTGGTGTCAATGGACTTGCTTGACACAAACCTTCAATTTGTAAAAAAAAACAACTCACACTATCTGCAAAGTGCAATAAAGCAAAGAGCAATATAATGAGGTATGCCTGTAATATTATCCCCTCCGCTCTGTGACTAAGGTGATGCCTACAGGACTGGCACTGGAGTCTTTACTTGTTTTAAACAACCTGAGGGTAAATAAATACCTCATGCTTGTTGTCTACTTTTGAACCTTTAGTATGAGTTCACATGTCAAACTCCTTTCCAGTAGTACGGATTGTGGAAAACTGTGCAGAGGTAATTCTGACAGAGGAGTGTGGGTAGAAAGACACGCTGGAACGAAGGGAAATGCCCAGTGGACCTGAACTGGCCAAAGACAGCCCTGGACAGAGGAGGGCACCACATGAGAGGCAGGACCTGGAGCAGCTGTGCCACCCACCCCAGACCTTCCCAGGGAAAGAACGGGAGAAGTGCAGCCTCTTTTTGATCTCCACTGCCATCTGATGTGCACGCACATGAAGATACTGAAGAAGAAACTGACCTGCTGACCCACGTCAACTCTCGTGAAGCTAAAGGTGCTGAGGTGGGTGTTTGCTCCCCGCACAGCTGGCTCTATGGTTTCTCGAAACAGCTTCTCTATAAATTGGCAAATGAAAGGCCACATGTGTTTTACAGTCTGAAAGGAAGAAGAACTCATGTAAGACAAAACATTTTAATGCACAATGTACTTGAGTCATGGTAAAAATTATGCCCCTTCAAGAGCTTATCAGAATTTTTTAAAATTAAAGAAAGGGCCTTTTTGTTATGCAAAAATAAATACAACTTTAAATTTTAAAATGTATGGCAACAATAAACTACTAATTAACTACATACTGCAGGAATTAGTTATTCTCAGCATATTTAATGATTGCTTTAAAAAAAAATCAGAAAATGCAGTGGTTTCAATTCATCTGATCTAATAAAGAGGGAATATGCTAATTAACTGTGACATAATCACAAAGATGGTTGTGCCCATAGTCAATAAGGAGGGAGTATGCTAATTAACTGCCATGCCCTCAAAGATGGTGGCGCCCACAGGGGGGTTAGAGAGGGACGACCAAATGACTAAACAATAGGCTGCATGGGGTGACCAGACTGGTAGGGGGGGTGCGTGAGGGGCGACCAGGCAGGCAGGACGGGCATTTGGGGGCAACCAGGCCAGCAGGGGGACAGTTGGGAGTGATTTGGCTGGCATAAGGGGCAGTGAGGGGTGATTAGGCCGACAGGGGAAGACAGTTGGGGGCAATCTGGCCAGCAGCGGGGGGTAGTTAGGGGTGACCAGGCCGGCAGGGAGGGCAGTTAGGGGCTATCAGGCGGGGGGGGGGGGAGAATTTGGGGGCAATTCAGCTGGCATGGGGGGCAGTTAGGGGCCACTAGGCCAGCACGCAGAGGTAGTGAGGGAAAATCAGGTTGATGGGGGGTGTGGTGGCGGCGGTGGCGGTGGTAGTTAGGGGCGAACAGGCAGGCAGGCAAGCAATTAGGAGCCAGTGGTCCAGGATTGTGAGAGGGATGTCTAGACCAGCAGTCAGACATCCCCTGAGGGGTCCCGGATTGGAAAGGGTGCAGGTTGGGCTGAGGGGATCCCCCGCCACACACAAATTTCATGCACTGAGCCTCTAGTTGCTAAATAAACTGCTAGAACTGTAGAGCTTTTAATAAACATTAATGAGTTTCCCTCAATGATGGACTACCTTCCCATGCTGCAGGGGGATCCCTGTCTGCACAGCTCTGAGGATATCACATAAAACATGAGGGGACAGATCCACTTCCAACTACACTGACCTAAAGACAGAGCTTTATAAAAAATTAGGTAATTATCTATTACTAGGATTCCTGGGAGTTATTTGTTCTTCATAATGTTTTCAACATTTTTGTGTATGACTATCATAAAATAGGCCTGAGCAGTGGACAGACGATGGGAAAATAAGACAGAGGCCAGGATGCGACTATGAACAGCTATTACTTTTCTCGCTGTTTAGAAAAGGAAAATCTCATTTATGACTGAGCTCTTTTGGGAGCAGAAGCCAAATCCAAAGGAGTTCACACAGTGTCACTATCCCAACTCCCAAATATGGAAGGATGCGCCCCCCTCCCCCCAGCGGGTTTGGGATACACTCTCTTACCTTATTTAGCCATTCTGCTCTCTCAGTGTCTGGAAAGTGAACCTAAGAGGAAAGACAAGGATGTGACCGACTGCCACGAAGGCCACGGCTGCTCTCAGTGGAGGCTGCTGCTCACACACACTCTTTAAACTCCCTGCCCCGAAGCTGGGAAGGGCTGTGGAGGGGGCACTCTGCTGTGCATCCTAAGAACAGCTGCAGCAGAAGCGTGGAAGGTCAGCAAATGCCCCTGCGCTCTCCCCAGCCTTGCTGTCAGAGGAATTGTGTGGGGACCTGAACATCCTAACAAGCATTTCAAATGGAGCCCTTCTACAGGATCGCTCTACTGGGGGCTCAGGCTGTCCAGTGTTCCAGAGACTTAGACCAAAGCCTTCAAAACCCCCCTTCCCTCTGCCTTTCTTTGGTCCAACCCAGCCACTGGGTGCTGCTGTTGCCCGCGTCTCCCTCCCTTCGGCCCAGGCTGGATGGGGAACCGGAGGTGGGTGGTGGCCCAGAGGGGCTGAGGGCCGGTGGCCAACCTCCCATGCCTTGTCCCTCCCCTCGGCCAGCAGGCCCAGATCAGCCCGGTCCTGACTGGTCTGATCGCCAGCCAGGCCTAGGGACCCCACCCATGCACGAATTCATGCATCGGGCCTCTAGCATTATATTATTATAATTACTATTTGGGTGCTACTGTAAGTCAACCCATGTGTACAGCCTCTGCATGCTGTCACTGCACACTAAACAATGTCACAGGCACACACTGACTGACCACCTCTGCCACAGGTACAGAGAGCGGGCCAATGGACGAGAGGGCCCGAACGGCGGCCCATGACATTAGTTCTAGAAAACAAAACTGCGACTCTACTTCGTCAGGAAATATCCCAAATGTCAAGAGTCCTTTGACAGAATTATAGCAAGATGAGTTTAATCTGCCACGAAAGCCTTCCTTTTCCGTTTTCAGATCCTTTCTTCTCAGAAAATACTAGAAAGTAACAGAATGTGTCCATTTCTACCTCATCCCCAATAAACAACTGGAAACCCATGTGAAAACAATGACTGTTCCTCAGTCTGCAGCTCTGCGGGAGCGGACACCAGAGGCCTCTCGGCCGCCCAGCGTCTCTGCAATGGACAGTCCTGTGCCCAGTGCCCAAGCGTCAGGGCAGTCTCCGGCCTGGCAGACAGGCTGGGCGGCACGTCTGCCCAGGAAGCAGGGGTCCGTGGCCTGCTCCTCTCTGCTAACTGGTGGGAACAGCTATGCATCCTACAAGCCTCAGGGAGGCCCAGCTTCTCTGCACTTTCTGTGCACAAGGATTTCCTTCCTCCTCCAGAGGGCCAAGCGTGTTTAGAGTGGCTTTCATTTTTTTAAAAAGATTCTGTGTGTGTGTGTTTAAATATATTTTTACTGATTTCAGAGAGGAAGGGAGAGGAAGAGATAAAAACATCAATGATGAAAGAACCATTGATCAGCTACCCTGTTTCCCCGAAAATAAGACAGTGTCTTATATTAATTTTTGCTCCCAAAGATGCGCTAGGTCTTATTTTCAGGGGATGTCTTATTTTTCCATAAAGAAGAATACGGTACACATTTATTGTTAAATGAAAATAAAGGAAATTTATTACCTGTATATGGTACGGTAGTACGGTAGTTGTCAACACAAACCAGACAAACTGTGAATCCTACAGTATCAAGAATTTACTCATTTATTCAATGACCATCATGTCATCATCTTCTGGAACATCATCATAACAATCCAATTCCTGAATTTCCTGGTGAATTTCTTGTGACTCCATTTCTTTCAGAATCAGTGGACCAAATCTCTCATGTTTAGCAATAGCACTGTCTTTAAATGAGTACTTCTTGTCAAGGTAGCCTGCTCGCAGTGCATTTGCAATGCAACTGTCAGTGATTTTCTCCCATGAATTCTTCACCCAAGTCACAACTTCTTGCAGTGTAGGTTTCACAAAGTTTCCACGCTGATTTCTCTCCATTCTATTTTCAATGTAATAATTAATTTCCATGCAAAAATAGTCTTTGAATGGCTTCTTTATTGCAATATCAAGAGTCTGGAGATAGGCCGTCATTCCTGTGGGAATCATTATCTGATCTATTTTTCTTTTGTGAAGAAATGTTTTCATGTCTTTAGCGCGGTGAGTGCTGGCTGCATCCCAGACTAGCAGACCTCTTTGGCTCCCTTGCATAACAAGCGCAGCATTAAATCGACCCACTTCCTTATAACTGCTTGTGTGGCCCAGACTTTTTCAGTTTCAAGAATAAAAATGCCCAAAACACGTTCAATCTTTTCCTTCTTGCCCTTAGAAATGATTAAAGGTGGGATTTTAGTGCCATCCAGACGAATTGCCAAAATACAGGAAATGTGCACTTTTGTAAGCAGTGGAGGGAATGTACACTAAGGAGGCACCCCGCTGTTCAATTGTTGTTTGTGATGATTGGCCCATAAACACTGCAGTTTTATCCATAGCAATCATGTTGGAAAGATTGTATTTAGAGAAGTCAGCATCATCAATAAAGGACTTAAATGCAAGTGCTCACTTAATAATTTGAATATCTTCCAACCTAAACAATATTGTACAGGTAGATCTTCTTAAAGACAGTTCACTTTGCTGAAGGAAATTATCCAGCCAGTGTTGTGAAGCTTTGAAGTCTTCGGGGCTATGTCAAACTGTGGTGCCATTGCAAGGGCAAATTCTTGAATCTGAGCCCTATTCACAACCAAAGCCTTTGCTCTTCTGTCAACAACCCATTCACAGATCAGGTCTTCCAGCTCGGAAAATAATGGTTGCCGACCTGATCCACACTTGCGCTTTTTAGCATTTCCCTTGTCCACTTGTTCAATGAGGTTACTGTACTCTGCTCGCCATTTTCAGACCAATCGGATACTCAGCATCTTCTCTTTGCAGAAAGCAGTAAGATTTTGGCCCCAAGAGTCTTCCACGATTCCTTTCTTGTACTCCACAGAGTAGCTTTTCATTTCTGCGCTCATTTCTAGGGATAAAAAAAAGGAATTGGAGTATCAAGGTGGGGGGAGGGGGATCACTTAAAATGACACAGGGGGGATCAGAGGGGGGAATCAAAATGGCACAGGAGAATCAGAGGGGGGATTACCATTTTAGTAACCCCTTTTGATCCTCCTGTGTCATTTTGATTGCCCCCTCTGATCCTCCTGTGTCATTTTAAGTGATCCTCCTCCCCCCACCCCTATGCCACTGAACACCTTCACCAGACATCCTCCCATCCCTTTATCAGACATTTACCCCCTGGGGCCTGCCTGGGGACTGTCACTGGGCTTGCTGGGGCCTGGATCTGGGCTAGAGCAGGGTCTGCCACTGACTGAGAACCTTCAGTCTTCTTGAGGGTGGCCGCGAGCATCAGGTAGTGTCACCAGAGACAGACCAGCACTCACCATCTTAGCCGAGTCCCATCTGCTCTAATCCTCCTGTTCTTTTACACGCATCTGCGAAAGTCTCCTCCTCTCTCCCACCCCGTGCTCACTGCTCACTCTGACCTCTGCTCTGCCTCCACACAGCAGTGACATCAGGATTCCGCGTAACGTTACTGGTTGTTAGACGCCAGTCGGGGTTGTCCTAGCTACCAGTTTACGGTAAATTAATTTTCATTCTGAGGCAGAGCCTGGGGGGGGGGGCCTTATTTTCGAGGGGGTGCCTTATATTTCACTCAGAAGGAAACCTGTAAGTAGGTCTTATTTTCGGAGGATGTTTTATTTTCAGGGAAACACGGTACCTCCTACAGGCCCTGTGTGTGTGTGTGTGTGTGTGTGTGTGTGTGTGTGTGTGTTTAATGTTATGATCAAGAAGCATTTTATTGCTCTTCCAAGTTTAAAAATTTTCACTGACAGAAAATCAACACTTTCAGAAAACCACCCACATGACGTTGTTCAGCTGCTAAAGCTTGGTTTTTGCAGACACATCAACATATTTATTTCTCTCCAGTACAAACAATCACTCCATCCACAATTGACGGATCAATCTTAACTTCCAATTTCAATATTTGGCTTTTGCTTAGGAAGCTCTTCATGACCATTTTTAATTCAGAACAAGGCTTCTTCATCCAGAGATGCAGTGGTCACTGCATGGCATGCTTTCCAAGGGCGCTGGTCGCATTCAAAAGCGGTACTGTTTTGAGCCGGCAACTTGATCAGGTTGGATGGGAGGGTGCGGCCATGTCCTTCTGGCTTTTCACTGAACGCTTTACATGGATTTGTACTGGACAGCCATTCTGGGTTCCTTCAAGATTTGTGCTGCTCTCAACAACTCCTTTCCTGCTTTTCAGTTCATTCTGTTGGCTGCAGTAGAATAAAGAGCAGTGGCCTAGTGCCCTTTGCTAATGCATGACTCAACAGGTGGTCTCACAAATCTGGCAAACGGCTGACCACAGATGTGCTGAAGCATCACACCTGCTGGGGGAGCCCAGACACTGCTGGGAAGCCTGGACACTGCTGTAAGGGAAGGGAGCTGGACACTGCTGGGGGAGCCTGGACACTGGCGGGGGAGCCTGGACACTGCTGGGGGGAAAGAGGGCTGGACACTGCTGGGGGAGCCTGGATGCTGCCGGGGGAGTCTGTACACTGCCGGGGGAGCCTGGACACTGCCGGGGGAGCCTGAACACTGCCGGGGAAGCCTGGACACTGCCGGGGGAGCCTGGACATTGCTGGGGGGAAAGAGGGCTGGACTTTGTTGGGGGAGCCTGGACACTGCCGGGGGAGCCTGGATGCTTCTGGGGGAGCCTGTACACTGCCGGGGGATCCTGGACACTGCTGGGGGAGCCTGTACACTGCCAGGGGAGCCTGGACACTGCTGGGGGGAAGAGGGCTGGACACTGCTGGGGGAGTCTGGACACTGCTGGGGGAGCCTGGTTGCTGCCAGGGGAGCCTGGACACTGCTGGGGGGAAGAGGGCTGGACATTGCTGGGGGAGCCTGGACACTGCTGGGGGAGCCTGGATGCTGCCAGGGGAGCCTGGACACTGCCAGGGGAGCCCGGACACTGCCGGGGGAGCCTGGACACTGCCGGGGGAGCCTGGACACTG